AACAGCTGATTACATACGCTGAGTGTTGTGACAACTGAAAACCTACATGTAGAAGATAAGTTACCTATTCTGTCACTTCATTTCAAGTCAAATAATTGTTATTAGTGTCAGTATAAGTACAGTAGCTTTGTAGTAAAGTTTCAAGTGGGCATGTTGTAGCTCACTGGCTTCAATTCTCAGTACACAGCGAAGAAAGATTAAATTATATCGCTAAAAACTTCTTTCACATATTCGTTTAATTTTTAGAAGGGAAATATACCTTTAGTTGAAAGGTGTTTGCAAGTAATAGTGATAGTTTTATAACTAAAAAAAATTTGTTAGGGTGTATTTGAGGTGTGTGAAAAATATGACATATCGCCGATCTGCCATTGAAATACTACAGGGCGTTGTTTGAGTGTTTCTAGTTAATGTTCAAAAACATCTTTCACATACACCTTTAATTTTTATGAGGGGAATATACCATAACGTGAAAGGTGTTTGCAAGTAATAGTGATAGTTTTATAATTTAAACAAAATTGTTAGTGTGTATTTGAGGTGTGTGAAAAATATGACATATCGCCGATCTGCCATTGAAATACTACAGGGCGTTGTTTGAGTGTTTCTAGTTAGTGTTCAAAAACATCTTTCACATACACCTTTAATTTTTATGAGGGGAATATACCATCACGTGAAAGGTGTTTGCAAGTAATAGTGATAGTTTTATAATTTAAAAAAATTGTTAGTGTGTATTTGAGGTGTGTGAAAAATATGACATATCGCCGATCTGCCATTGAAATACTACAGGGCGTTGTTTGAGTGTTTCTAGTTAGTGTTCAAAAACATCTTTCACATACACCTTTAATTTTTATGAGGGGAATATACCATAACGTGAAAGGTGTTTGCAAGTAATAGTGATAGTTTTATAATTTAAACAAAATTGTTAGTGTGTATTTGAGGTGTGTGAAAAATATGACATATCGCCGATCTGCCATTGAAATACTACAGGGCGTTGTTTGAGTGTTTCTAGTTATTGTTCTAAAACATCTTTCACATACACCTTTAATTTTTATGAGGGGTATATACCATCAGATGAAAGGTTTTTGCAAGTAACATTGATACTTTTTATTTTGTTTTGTTTTGTTAGTGTGTATTTGAGGTGTGTGAAAAATATGACATATCGCCATTGGTGCTTGTGATGCTTGAGTGTTATAGTTCTAAAACTTCTTTCTTTCTTGTTGATCTTAGTATTTGACAAAACTGGAAAGGTGTTTACAGCGCTTTGTGATAGTTCTAAACTTTCTGTTCTTGAGGGGTCTGTGACAGTGTCAGTTAACATTCTGTCAATGCCCATGTCATTCCACACATGCAATAAGATATCTGAATTAGTTACTAATGTAAAAACATGTTTCAAAGTAATTTTTTTTTTTTTTTTTTTTGAAAATGGACAGCTGATGTTAACATATGTGTTCTACCGATAGTTTTGTGTTCTTTAACATGTTTGGGGAGGGATGGCCGTGGTGTATCATTTATTCTTTCATTCATTCACATATGTTCTTTTTTTCTTTTCTTTTTTCTTAATTTCTTCCATTCATTCACATAAAATTCTTGCTCTTAATTCATTCATTCATTCATTGTAAAATTCCGACTGATACAATACACTGGCTGCAGTACTGTTAAACGCAGCCGAAGTTGCGCTGGGACCGAACCAAGTCACTGTGTGCGTTGGAGCATGACGAGGCACACGTTAATTAGTACAAATGGTAAAGAAAGCCAGCGAGTGACCTATCCCTGTTGTAGAGTATCCCTGATACAACTAACTGAAAATCGTTCCTCATATGACGTCACTGTAGTGCTCTGGCGACAGAGTTACGTAACCTGTCTGTGGTTTCGTTGGCGGGCGAGAGGGAAGCAGGCGACTTTTTGGCCACTTTTAATCGCTCGGTATTAATTAACCACAAGTTTTTAAAGAATAAATTTGGTGTTCCGCATAAGACTAACCACAAATCTTTCATATGTAATGGTTAAAAGAGTAACAAAAAACAAAGTTTAGTGGTTCTTTAACATGTTTTAACAACACAGGAAGTTGAAGAATAAACACGTCGATGAAGACAGTGTCCTGAGCTAAATTCAGCACCATCCGGGTCCAACAACGACCGTACAGTATCCTGTTTCACGATTAAACCGCATTGGATACATTTTTATGCATCCAACGATAACCATGTCTTTGTCCAGATCGTCGAAGTTGTCCGCAATAAAGTCTGTAACATCAGCGGGCCGGTGGGGTAGCCTCGTGGTTAAAGCGTCCGCTCGTCACGAGTGGAAGACCTGGGTTCGATTCCCCACATGGGTACAATGTGTGAAGCCCATTTCTGGTGTCCCCCTCTGTGATATTGCTGGACTATTGCTAAACGCGGTGTAAACCGTACTCCCTTACTCACTCATTGTAACATCAGCAAATCTGGTATCTGGTGTGAAAGAGGGACATACTCCTCAGAATACGCTTCAAGTGGCGTACTATACTATACCATGATTTTTTACAAGAATCTGAATTATATCTTTGTCTTGGAACCAAAGACTGAAATAAGCATGAATCAGCTCCCGTTTCCGCTCCTCCTTGCTTCCACATGAACTCCTTATGGAGCAGTGTATTTCAAGATACTAAGTTGAGCGCTGAACATACTAACGTGTGCGTTCAAGATACTAACGTGTGCGCTCAAGATACTAACTTGTGCGCCCAATATATTAACTTGTGCGCTCAATTGTGCGCTCAAGATACTAACTTGTGCGCCCAATATATTAACTTGTGCACTCAATTGTGCGCTCAAGATACTAACTTGTGCGCTCAATATATTAACTTGTGCGCTTAAGATACTAACTTGTGCGCTCAAGATACTAACTTGTGCGCTCAATATATTAACTTGTGCGCTTAAGATACTAACTTGTGCGCTCAAGATACTTACTTGTGCGCTCAAGATACTAACTTGTGCGCTCAAGATACTAACGTGTGCGCTCAAGATACTAACTTGTGCGCTCAAGATACTAACTTGTGCGCTCAAGATGTTAACTTGTGCGCTCAAAATGTTAACTTGTGCGCTCAATATATTAACTTGTGCGCTCAATATATTAACTTGTGCACTCAAGATAACTCACTTGTGTGCTCAATATATTAACTTGTGCACTCAACATACTTACTTGTGCGCCCAAGAAAACTAACTTGTGCGCTCAATATACTAACTTGTGCGCTCAAGCTAAATTTTATTTCATCAGGTCCCTTCAGCGCTTCCGTACTATCCTTTATTCGATATCGCGGTTCTATTGTTGACGGTGTGATGGATGTTGTTGCTAGTTGATGCCACGGGCCGACACCCTTGATACAGTACCCCACCCAGTCCCCCAAAGTAGATATATAAATAAATAGAATAATCATAATGATTCCCTATACGCAATGGGGAAATGGGGATACGATGACATGCATGAACCTTGTCAGCGATTTTAACAACCCGATACCGTTTTATTCCCAAAGCTGCTTTGGTTGAGCGTGTCCTCATACAGGTCATTTATAATAATTTCATTCTGGACGTTTGTTGAATGAGGTGTTTGAAGACGGGCACAGTTTATTATGGTTAGGTTTTTACTAACTTTTCTCCAGTTGAAACATTCTGTTAAAGATGATAAATAGGTTAGAAAAGGAAATATTTTAACTTACTCACTTCCTAATAATTTGAATATCATTGTCAAGATTTGATTATAATACGGAATGGTAGCGCCATCTTGAATGGTTCCACACTATATACCTAAGATGAAAACTGACTGACTGACTGACTGAGTTTGGTTTTACCCCGCTTTTAGCAATATTCCAGCAATATCACGGCAGGGGACACCAGAAATGGGCTTCACACATTGTGCCCATGTGGGGTCAATCGAACCCAACAAGCACAGAAAAGGTGATCTTCGGCGTGATATAGCCAACGCTTTAACCACTTTAAGCTACCTCGATTTCATTGTTTCTCTTAAGATGAAAAGGTCAGCGTGATGGCACAATAACAACTGATTATCTGGCTTCTGTTACCATTTCTTCGAGTGGCATTTTAGAAGTTGGGAAGCACAATATTCACAAATTTATGGATAACAACTTCTTTTACTTTGTGAGAGAGACGTTTCGATACCGATTCTTAACCCTTGTCAAGCAGTAGAACGACACAAGAATCTGTGTCGAGCGTTGCCCTCACAAAATAAAAGAAGCTGTTATCCATACATTTGTTACTATTCTTCTATTACCATGGTTACGAAAATGGAATTATGTATTTTAGTTTTGTACACATTGCAAATACATATGTTCCCATTCTGTTCTGTGTATGCAAAACAAGTATGCAAAATTTTTAGATAGAAATAACAACGTCAGCAAGAATCTGGAAAGATTTATTTATATAGTGTTGATCTACAGTTCAACAGATATATTTAAACCTACCTAATCCGGTAATATCTTCCATTACCATTCTGCCTTTGTTTTCCTAGAGCTTCCACATTAATGTCTTCTTAGCGCTGGAACCCCCTTTGTTAAATTATGAATATATATGTTTCTTAGGAAGATACACATGTTGATATTACACAGAAAAGCTTTGTGAAAACAAAACTGTTTGTATATTTTGCAAAAAATGCAAATACCCACTGTTAATTATATTTGGGTGACCGTGGATTGTAGTAATACTGTGTTTTCTTTTGTCATTGGTACTAAAAACACATTTCCGTTCTGTGAAGATACACCGGAGAAATATCTTGAATTTTTTTCTTGAAAATATTTGGCACGATAATGGCTCCGAGCCCTAGAATTCAGCTATTTCACATTGTTTATTTCGTTCCAAAACAAACAAACAAACAAAACAAGCAAACAAATCATGGCATAGTTAGAGGGTTTCATGTAAAATCAAACTATTTATTTGTTACATGTTTAGCGGATGGTTCTTGGCCGTTTGAATTACCCCCCTTTACCGGAAATGAATTCCAGCCAATCAAATCTTTGTTATCGATAGGATTTGAAAGCGGGAGTTAGAAGACCGATGTACCGCGATAGGGATAAGAAAATCTGTGTACTTTTATAAACAAACATGGCATCGTCATCACAATATGCCGACGCGTATAAATTGAAGCCGGACGTATTGGATAAAAGGAAGGCGCGTCTACAACGAAGATCAGTTGAATGGAAAAATCTCCGCTTTGAAGAAGTTGGGAAACGAAGGAAAATAGATCTTGACAATTTGTCACCTCTGCAAGAACAAGACCAAAACGTCACGAATGTTTCAAAATCATATGAAAACAAAACTCCTGTCAAGCCGACAAATGGTAGGTAGAATAAGTCAGAGTGCCCTGGATTACCAGTGTTTCTATTACTTTACTGTCAGTGTCATTCAACTCGCAGTTTCGATCGTTCATCCAACAGTGAAACGTCCAAGTGGCGAAAATACCCTACCTGTCCAACTACCAAACGTACATGGGTCATCAGTGGTACACAAATGTGGGTAAAACGGGTCCTTGTTATGGTTGTATAGGTATTTTTTGTCAGTTGATCATTTGTTGTCTATGGTGATATATGTACATAAATGTTACACCTTCAGTTTCATAGTAAAGATATTGTAAGACCACAGTCGTTAGGTAGAGCCCAAGGTAGATGCATATTACGGTAATAGTTCCTCCCGTTCCCCCATCCCAAATAATATGTATAAATAATCTAGAATTATAAACAAAACTTAACCCAACAATTACTAGAGAACTCACAAAATGATTAAAAGTCCAAACTTTATGTTAGGTTTAGGGTTATGTTTAGAGTTTGGTTTAGAGTTGGGGGAATGGAAGGAACTCTTTCCGACACTGTCCATTGCGTGTCTGGATACGTGACACTTTTATGGGTAAGACAGCAGAATATGGTTAGGGTAGGTTTAGGGTTAGGGTGACATGACACTCAACAATATGGCTGGTAGGTATCCGGTATTCTGTAGGTGTACCCTTTTATGATTGCTATTTCAGGGTTTCAGATTAGCCGAGAGTCATGATGCAGTCCTGCACAGTCAGGACATGACCCTGCATCACATGTCATGTCTTGACTGTATAGGACCGCCTCGCATCTCTCTGCTAGGTTTCAGATGTTCACTTTGTTGGACATACTGTAATGCCCTGTAAATGTATTTCATATTTGATAGAGATATGGGTAAAAGTGACGTCAAAAGTTGATAAAATCATGAAAATGGCATTTATTGTTTGTTTTAGCTGCTTACTATATTGCAAATTGGCTCAGATTGCTGTCAGTGGCGCTTGATTCAGATCCTGTGTAGTTCTTTGATCCTTTGGTGGGGAATACTGCACTTTACCGGGCGCACTTTTTCAGATTAATTAGCGTTGCTGGGGTTCCCTAACCCTAAGGATTGTAAAGGGTGGCATACCCTAACCCTAAACCCTAACCCTAAGGATCGTAAAGGGTGGCATACCCTAACCCTAAGGATCGTAAAGGGAGCAGCGAGGGCTGCGCCCGGTAAAGTGCATTCTAGCCCTTTGGTGCTTAAATTGTTTTAGATCGGGTATGTTACCCCCAACTCTTTCCTTGGGACTTCCTCTTCCTGATCAAGCATCCCTTTCAATCTAAGAGTTGAACACCTCTTGTTTTTTTAAATACCCCAAAACAATCCTTAGGGTTAGTTATGCTGAAGGGGTCATTGTCAGCACAGGTGCTACAGATACCTTTCTGTATACAGAACCCAAACTGAAACTGTATGTTGCTGTGGCCGTTGTTGTTTCTGTTCAACTTCATTGCGAGCGGTGTTGTCCACCAGGAAATATTCAATAGTGTGTATGCTCGTTTCATAAAGCAGTCAAATGCATCTAATACAACTGCGTGAAAGTTCCAATCAATGAACGACGCACTGCGGTACGTTTCTGTATTCTGATTGGTGGGGTGCCAACAACAACCCATTAGTTGTTGGGTAAGGTATCTCTTTTAACAATTATCCAGTCTGTAAAGGTAAACAAATGCTTGCAAGCAAACCAGTGCTGGTTACCAAGAACTTATTATTTGTGATAGTTTCCATGGCCAGGTGGTAAAGTGTTGGCTAATTAGATTAACTCGTTAGCCAGGTATAGCTTCCAACATAAGGCAATGTGTGCTCTACCCTCCATGGAGTGCTAAAAAGCACATCTCCTAATCAAAAGTAAATTTGTGGTACTCATTGTTTCAGATAGATTCGAAACATTCAATATCTTTGACACCACCCCAAACTGTCCTAACTTGTTCATATTTGTTTGTTTTTTCCGCAATATTTGTTTATGACATAGAAGAATGTCCAATCAAAAAGAAAATGTCATGAAAACATCCTGATGCCATTGTCACTTGGAAATCACCAGTGCGTCCAGTAGTTGTGGTCCGATTAATAGAAATAATCGAAGATTGGTCGCAGTGACTAAACGACCAAGCAATCGATTGTGTTTTCTCATAATCGAACACTTTTTGCATTAACCATATTTTTCACAAGGTTGGTTTTGTAAGTTACATTTCATAACCACTACAAGCCATGATTAAATTTATCTTAAAGACTCATGGAATTTTATGTTCTTAACATACTAGTTAAGTAGTAATCCTTTCAAGATGTGAAATTTGCCACAAACCCCCCCCCCCCAAAGAACTACGTTTTTTTTCATTATGTTTTTTTTTTCATTAACAGAAAAGAAAAGCAAAGCAGATTTACTTAAGCAACGTTTAATCCAGTGGAAATTGGAAAAAGAACAGAAAAAGAAACTGGAAGCTCAAGAAAAAGCCAAAAAACAACAGTTCAAGGTCTCCTGCAGTATACAGCGCACAGACAAGACTTTGTTCAGGAAAGATAAGGTAGGCAGAATACTAAAAAATCATTCAGGTTGAAGTTGATGTTGAATAGCATGTATCCATGGCAACACAATTTTCAATATATTTCTGTTTCATTTGAGCCTTTTATGTTGCAGAGTACTTCCAAGACAACCAGCATAAAATCCAAAGACACATCAACTTCAGCGAAGTCCAAGAACTCAAGCATCACTAGTTCAAGGACTGAAGCTCCTGTTTCAGCTCAACCATGTAAACAAGAAGCAGCTCCAGCTACGAGACGTTCAACAAGGTCAAACAATGATGCTACTAAGAAGAGTAAAACTGTTGCCACTAAGCAAACCAAGCCCAAACCAGCACAACCAGTGAGTGTGATTCTGTGTTTGACCAGTACTTTTTTGTTTGTTTTGTGTTTAACATCAAAAGCAATATTCCAGATTTGTCATTGAGACTGGAAAATAATTGAGTCATGGGTGCCGTTCCACTAACCAATCTTACCCAAGTCATTCGTAAGTTAGGATCCAAAGTCTTAAAGGCCGGGGTTCAAACCTATACACAGATGGGGTGTGGCCTCCTGCCTTGCCAAAGCTGTCTTTCAATGCAGAACAATGCAGTATTCAAGTACATTCCATGAAATATCACAAAATTGACTTACCGGTTCTTGATGAAATTAAGCCATAGTGTAAACAAGTATGTTATGAACACACACTGCAAAAAGTGTTGATGCAGACAGTGTACAAAACCTGCATTTTAAAAATATATAATCTCTTTTTGAAATCCAGATTTGAATTTGCCACTGTGTCAGTCAGTAGGCCAGAGGAAGTGTGTTTCCATAGAAACAGACCTCTGAGTGGAAGTTAAAGCTTCATTCAGGGTTTCATATTTCACTTTCTTCCCAGGCAGTCAGTGAAACTGATGCCCTCCTCCACTCCCCTGACCCCCAGCTGTGCGGATTGTACACTGATTTGACTCTTTGACACTGAGTGGAACACTTGATTCCCCCCAGAGGGGTGACATTGGCTTGGTATCCTTGTTATTATTATCAACACATCAAGTAGGCAAATTAATTATCTTCTATAGTAAACCTTTGATGTACTAAATTCTTTATAATAACATATGATTCTCTAAAATGCAGTAATAACATAACATTCTGTACTTTTCAAAACCCAAACCCCTAAAGCCTGAAATGAACTTTGCTTAGTTTTAGTATTTTAACTTGTGGGTCAGATCATACTTCATTGACTCCTACTATCGGAATACACTTGACATCTCTCATTATCTGGCTGACCATACTGATTTCCTCACAAGATGGATCCAAATAAGCGAAGTGCTCGTTTTACAATCGAAATACCTGGTGACCAAGAAGTCAAGCAAGGTATTCTCCAAAAACTGAAACAAGTGAAAGTACACCTAAAAGCAGAGACAAACAAGCCTGCTAATAATGCTGAGGTTCTGGACCGGGTGCTGTCATACTATCTCCAGCACCATGGTGTGACTGCCCCAGAAGATCCACCAGTTACATACCTGACAGCCAGACCAGGTGACTCTGATGACAAATTTTTCATCATATCTGAATCATCCATGAAAATGTGTCTGGATGTAGCAGAGAAGCATGGGCGAAAATGTTCCAATAAATTGACTGTTACACAAGTCAGTTATGGTGGCCATGTAATGAAGATGAAGGTTAAGCTGCATAAGTCACACCAGTATCGTCTGGCGTCATCACCGTACCTACCAGACAACAAATTTCTTGTGAATGAGAAGGTTGGACATGCTTTTTACAGCTGTGGTATGTTACCAGTCCAGTACCAAAGGTTCTGTTCAGCTGCAGGGATTGGTAATCTGTCACGGAAATATAGAGAACAACAACTTACCACCTATAAGGCTTGTGTTCAGGCAGAATATACTGACTCATGTGAAACTTCATTGTTAGAAGAAGTTGCTGGTTATGAAGATTTGGGCGGCATCAACATCATGACAGGCGCTCGTCGTCATGGTTGGAGGAAAAATGCCAAGGATAGTAGTGTGGTGGCCATTGGTGACTACACACATAAGGTGTTAACATGCCAACATATAACCAAACAGAATGATCCTGTTTCACAACGGCACGAAAGGGTTGGAACAGTGGAGATATACAAGTACCTCGAAGAGAGAAATGTCAATGTTAATGTACACACCCATGACAGAAACCTGTCTGTAAATAAACTCATTCGAGACAGTGGAACAATCAACCAAAATGGCATATGGCATGGCGTAAAATCAGTAGCCAAATCTCTGTTGTATCCACGGGACCAAAGTACAAGCATGGCAGTACCTGGCATGAACAGCTGTCAGACAAAGTGCAACCTGTTGCTACACACTTCCATCACGCCATTCGGAGTTGTAACGGTGACAGCGAGAATCTGAGATCCTCACTCATAAATGTTATTGAACATTATAAGAACAATCATTCTGATTGCAGCCCATCCTCAAGGTGCAAGGAAGATCCAAACTATGAACCATCACATGTAGTGCTCACAAGTGAGAAAGCTGTGTCATTGTTGAAAGGTGTTATCACAAATTCCACCATTTTCAAGTATGCAGACGACTTCAGTTTGGCTAAAGATACTTTCTATGTTGAAAGTTTCAATAATGTTATGAATATTTTTCAAGACAAACGAATCTCATTTTCTGGCAGGATTTACAATATGAAATCTCAATTAGCTGTTTGCCACTGGAATGAAAATGTGAATAGAAGCTATACTTCTGAGTGGCATTCAAGGAATCCTGGTGCACAGAGATGTCGCAAGAAGAGGAACTACAAACCTGTCTCCTACAATTACAGTGCTTAAATGTATGGAACAGATATCTCGAGGAGATTATTTTGACCTAAAGCTATATCTTGCCATCAGATAATTCATTATTCCCTGCTGGCCCTCTAATTTGCTAACTTGTTTATCTTTACTGTCACTATTAATTATCTCTACGGTGTTACTTCATAGATAAAGTCTTGAGAAAGCTGTGAAAAATAGTATAACCTCGAGAAACAGCGATCATGGAAGTTGAACAAGACAGACTCTCTCTCACATTGATGGTTACTCCTCTCCAGAGAGAAACTATATATAATCTGTTTCATCATCATAACTGGGATATAATAGAAGTTCCCCATTCCGGAGGCAACAGTGACAACACTTCCAGGTATGAATGAACCTGATGGTGACCCGAGTTTGTCATTCAACAGAGACCTGATGCAGATGAGTGTCCTCACTGTTTGTGCAAACCATGCATAACAGACCCAGTGAACAGGCAAATGTGGTGGGAGGAAGATATCCTTCAGGAGAACACGAGAAATTCGCAACTTAGAAAGGGACACTATAAGCGATTTTTGGACCATGCTTCTTCACCGAGGTGTATGGAGAGATGCTCGGTATCAAGAAAGAAAGAGACAAGCATTACAGAGACATTTCAACCGACATCACCTGGTGTGGACTGGAACCAGACACCAGCGTGACTTAATGCCAGATTGTGTCATAACGTTAGTTCGGACATGGCTCCCCAATCCTGCAAATAAGCCATATATGGGACATACCTGGAACTGATATTATATTAACGTTATGTCTATGTTATTGTTGCTATATTCTGTGCTGTCTCCTATTCGAGATGCTGTTTTCAAGTGGAATGTATTATTCTCTTAGGAAGGTAATTATATAATATACCATAATTAAAATATTTTATAAATATTATGTATTTAATTTAGAGAATTATATTACAGCAAAACAAATTGTAAATATTAAATTAGTATGAGGACATAAATTGTTCTCATAGAGTATAAATGAAGTAATATGATTGAATTTTGTTGTAAATATTATTTGTTTGTAATAGAAATAGCTTTTGAGAAAACGTTGAATTTATAAATAAGTAAATTATCCTAAAGCTTATCAAATGAGTCTGTCATTTTTGTCTTCATGAAATGAAGGGAAGGGTTGTTGGACATTTACTATCAGGCACATGTTTGTTCTAGTAGTAAATTCCAAGCTTAACCTTTGACATCCCCAGACTCCCACTGGCACTTGCCAGGCACCCAAAGCCGTTACAATCCTGTCACTCATGGGCAGATAACATCTACACTGCTGAGGAGTAGCCAATGGGTGACTATTTGGGAACCCATGGGGAATTTGGAGGTTTGCACCCCGGCCTTTAAGTTGCTCATGACCAACTTAGGATCGCTAAAATCAATTGTAGAGAAACCAAAATGGCGGTGTTCATTATTCTATGTGAAGAAGAAGAGCGAGCATTACACTGTGAGTGTGTTTTTCGAGTCCGCTCACAGATTCTAGATACATTATCAAATGATGTGCTTGTGGCACTTACTTTGAAGCAATCTTCTCACAGATAGAATCTTTACATTTCTTCGTTACTCCTGGCCTGAAAGAAGCGGACAAAAAGGAGTAATGGTGGACCCCTTTGTCAACCAGATTTGATATTTCCTCAGGAGAAAAATTGCTCTTTCTCGCTAGAGGTTTCTTCTCTATGTTTACACTTGGTTCCAAAACCACTTCCATCATCTGCTTGACTATGCAAAGGGGGATAACTCGTGCCTCACATTTTCTATCTCGCACCAAAGAGTCTCTATCTTAGCTAGGATCGGGACTGGCTACGATCGGCCTAAGATCGGTTAGTGGAACGAATGTAACTTAATTTGGCATAACTTGCTAAAATTGATCTTAGATAAGATTGGTTAGTGGAACGGCACCATGGTCAGGTAACCAATGTTGGATGTGTCCAATGCCTAACATCTGGATCAAGTCACAGAATTTCCCCACCCTGTCTATACTCTTGTCCAAACCTACAAGACAGGTCCTGATTGCAGAAAGTGATCTTAGTGCTAAGACTATTGTAAGCCTATCTTAAAGTGGGAGTTACGGTCACCTTAGCATTAAGATAGCTCTGTGCAACTGGGCCCCGTCATGTTTTGGGCATACAGTAGAACACGGATATAACGAACTCCAAGGGACCAAGAAATTTAGTTCGCTATATCCGTTGTTCGTTATTCACATTTGACCGCCATCTTGGATTGTAGAGATGTAGACATTACCTATATCATGTTGATAAATATGAAGTTTATTTTTATAATAAAATTGAAATAATACAACTACAACGTAAATATATTTATTTTTTAATGAAAATGCAAGCTTACATTTATAATGTCCAGATAAACCATGAAAGAAGCAAAAACTATAGCGATTTTTTTTCCATTTGTGACATGTCATAACATGCCTGTGCCTTTTTCTTTTATATTTTCATTTTTATGACACAACAACGGGAAATACCTCCGTTTTCGAAGCTTCGTATGAATAACATGCGAGGCGAATCGTGTGGTGTCTAGTATCGGTTGACAGCTCTGGAACATCAACAATATCACTGTACCCTCGCCGAGAGTATTTTCACAGTTGTAAAAAGCGATTTTATTGGATAAAGATTGGTTTCTAATGACGCTTTTTCGCCACAGTCTGCTATAAGGATCGTGATTGGTCAAAATCAGACACGTGACCTAATGCAGCCAATCATACTACGGCAATGGATACCGTCCTCGTCAACGAAAACGGTTGTTGAATGGGTTAAACACGATATGTTTGTTTTGTTAATTAATTAATGACCATCAATCAATGTTGATTCACCGCCAACAAGATTGATGTATACTGTACCGCTAAGTGGCTGAGCTGACACAGAGTGAGTTCGCTATTCACGTCGTTAATTGGGTCTTGGAGGTAGTAAATCAGTTCGCTATAGCTGTTAATTCGCTACTCACAAGTTCGTTATTCACGTATAATTTTAATGATATTATAAAGGACTGTTGACGGGACTTTTAAATTTGTTCGCTATATCCGTGTTCGCTATAACCATGTTCTACTGTATTTTGAACTGTCTCCCTTCTAGGCTTGTTGATCATCAGAGAGCATATTTATTTTTATTTATTTCTTTTTTTATTACTGTGATTACTATCATTAATAGATGAAGAGACAGTTGGAGAAATTTAGGATCAATGTGTCAAGTGTGTTGCAGAGATGCCAACCCCAAAGTATTGCCAATAGTAGTTTCAAGGATCAAAATTAGTAGTTTGACCATAAGATTAGTAGTCAGCTAAATACTTAAAATCATGATGGATTCTGAGAAAGATATATGACACTAATCAAGAGTGAAGCTTTAATTTCACATACCTCCAACAGCAGATTTCCAAATTATCAGCATTACATTTCTTCTTGTCGTCTCTTTTTGGCGAAAATGTATTTAATCGACGAAAATATGTTTTTGTCTATATATCTGAATTTTAATGAATTTTCTTCAAATTTCATAGAACTTCAAGCAATTGTATTGGCATGGTTTGAGGCTAAAATTTGTAGCGACTACGATAAATTCGTAGAGGTTGACAATGATAATGAGATTTTTTAAATGCACATTTCATGATGCTCAGATTGAATTTGCATCCTATATTAGTTATTTTTTTAATATATATTTTCCAAAAAAATTTTTTATAGTTTTTTATTTTGTTGCATTTTTTATATATTAGTTATGCATAGATCAGTGTTCACGAATCGTGTTTCAAAGGAACAGGACATTGAGTCCTGTAAATTTCAGATGTCTCTCTGACCCATTGAAAATTCACAGGACCCATAGAATAAAATTAAACACACATTTCAGATTTAGCATTTCTTATAATTGGCACTGAAATTATAAACAAACATAAGATTTATAAACAGCAAACAGGTGTCACATGTCCCCTATATCAACTTCAGTCAAAGTCATTGTGAAATATACAGTCAGACACTGGGGCCGGCGGGTTGTAGACTTCTATCAGACCATTGTCAAATCTGCCGGATTTGTCAGAGGGTCAGACGCTATTCGTGAACACTGATAGATTACTTATAATCTACCACCACAGAGCCAGAATATTGCTCAGTGCAGCGTTAAACTAAAACTAGGCTAAGTCATATCCATTTAACCATTCAGTGTGTATAGTTGTTCTTGCTTGATGTGACTTGATGTTTTTCTGTATGTTACAGGCTCCAGCACCTCTTGTGCGTACAGCCCGTCAAACAAGATCTTCAGCTAAACTGAAGGGTTCTCCCAAAGCCTCTACTCTTAACAGACCAACATTTGCCAGTAGTCAGAGTGAGTGTGGGATTGTCCACTGATGCTTGTTGAAGCTGTCAGGATGGCCTCTTGAAAATGAGAAGATGTTGCTTTTCTCTAAATTCCGGATTCATAAAGATCCGTGGTAGAACTGATCTTCAGCAACCCATGCTTGTCGTAAATGAAATGATACATTGGTGCACTCATCATGAGTTTGCATTAGACAATACGATACATCATAATATAATAATAGTAATAAGGCCACTTATGTATAATAACAATATGGCTGAACTCCGGTTGTCTCATTGCTTCATTAACTAATGTCAACCTTAAAGCCTAATGATACATTAAATCCTTAATGCATCATTAGTTAATGGCATCATTAAAAACGGTTGTATCAAACACTTATTAGCGTATCATTATCTAATGACGTCCTAATGTAAATATTTTCATTAAATCTGGGGATTCCCCTATTTTTTCCCCACAATTCCGCGCTGTAAACATGTAAGTGTTCATCTCGGTCGTCTGTCAAAATGGCATCTATAGGGCTAAACCTCGGAACAAAAACAAACATTTCGATTGCTGTGAAGAAACACGTTAAATAATTCTGAAACGTTGCCGATAAACCTAGAATCAGTTGGGATGTTTTGGAATATACATGAACACTAACGCCGAAGTGAGCTTTCCGCCATATTGGATAGTGTTTACAAAATCAAGTTTCGCTAAGGCCAGTCATAATACGCCTATTACATCATGTATATTCCTCATACATTTTAGAATCAAATTCCAAATGGTCTTTGTCACTATAACCAAGTGTCTAAGAAAAAACAAAACATACTGGGTGTGAAAACGGGACGTTGTGCTCATTACACAGCGCTTGCTAGAAATATAAACAAAGCAAAAATCAGATTTTATACTGTGCAGCATTTTCTCACTTTTTGAGACATCAGTTCGTCTATTCGTAGCATGCTTGAGCTCAATATTTTTAGAATATGCACGGAAAGAGTATCGTAGCAAGAACTAGAAAACTTAAAACAGATACAATACTGAAATTGATATATTCACACGAAAGTTCTGTGCAGCGTGACGCCATGCGAGACGCAAAATCATGGAGAACGACATAGGCAATTATCGGCATTTCTGACATTTTCAATTCAAACAATAAAAACAAACAACCATACGCAGATAGTCAGAATGTTTCCGATTACTTACATCATACATTTATGGTCAAAGGTTCCCTGTAAAATCGTGGGCACCCATATCCACGAAGCCGCCATTTCATGAGAAATCGGTCATCGGTAGTGATGTCATACATCAACATTGTTGGACATATGTGGCAATTTCTTTGAGGTGAAGGTCGGTTGAATTAGAGTAAACACAATCACACTGTCCTGCAGATTACACTTGTATTATTAATGTATACTTTGCGTATCGTTCACATATGGTTTCATGAAACTAATTTCATCATCAACATTTAGTATTTTAAACCTAAGTAAAACTGACATAATAAATATAAATGATTTATTTATTTCATGAAATGTATATGCACACGTTTTTAAAGGATATGTCTTGTTCATTGAATTTGTTTATGTTGTGTTATAGACAAAACAATGGCGTATAATCATTGGCCAGGTGCGCATTTGTCACAAATGTTTTGAGTATCATTGTTTTCGATAATTCCGTGAACAAAACATCACGAAAATATTGTGTCCTTATTCACAGCAAATTCTCGCCAAGTGATCTGAGTTACAATGACTTAGTATTAAGCATACCGGAGTGAGGCCCCCGTGACCATTATGTAGCCATTTGACGTCATAGGGGAAAATCCATTTTCAACACATATTGCGAGTCACTTTTAAGATTGAGTGTATAACGTTATACAGAAGCACACAAACTAATTTAACACATACCTATTTCATTCAGTTATCAGGCAGAATTTTGTTCGCTCACACTTTCCGTAAAGATGCCAAATTGAAAATATAGTAGCACAGTACTTTTATCAGTGCACGATAAAAAGCAGAGAAATTTACTGTTTTTAACATATAACAAAATTAGGAGTAACATTCAGCAGTGTCTACTTTTCAAACTGAGTTTATACCATGAGATACGACATTTAATACTCTACATTTCCGTGTAATTTTATAGCTGTAGGTAGATCCAGTGCGGCGCAAACGAAATTCTGGCGCAATGTTCACTTTTCCAGGAAGTTTAATGACGCTCTAATGATACCCCAGGACCTTCATTAAGTTAATGACGCACTAATGACAACAGAGCATCATTAAAACGTTAGCACAACAGAATTTAATGATACATTAGTTAATGAACGTTTAATGGCACGTTAATGCTTCATTAAAGTTTGATACAACCGGGTCCTGAACTCCATACTGCATGTGCATGCTCATGCTCTAAGTGCATGCAACATTTTGGATATAAAACCCTGAATAACCACAGCTGCCTGTGAGGTGGAAGAAGGTTAATAGTTATATGACTTATCCCTACAGGTGGGTACCCATTTACATGATACAATTTGTGAAATCAATTACTTATTCCACATTAATGTTTGTCTATGCAAGTTATATGCATGTTATATGCGAGTAAGGGAATATTATTTTTTTTCTTGCCTCATAAGTTTTTTTTTTTGTTTTGCTTTTTTCGTCATGACAGAAAAAACGACATCAGATGCTCCCCCTACACGGACTACTCGCGGCAAGAAGCTGTCCCCTCAATTCAACATCAACTTGGCCAAGGTGTCCACAGACCGGGGAGAGTCCTTTGCTCCTACCGATTTTGCCTTTGAGGCTCCGAGAATGTGAAATCTTTCAGCTTCAAACCTCTGAGTCCTGCAAGTGCTATCAGCTTCCTTGACCCCCACCGAGATTTGACGTCAACATCCTTCTTCCTGGAACCACCTTCAGGCAGGTCAGGCATCGCTCAAACTTCATCATTCAAAACAATATTGGGGTTACCTTTAGGGGTGAAACGATACACTCTTACCACGGTACGGTATGTATTGCGGTACAAGGCCTTCGACTCAGCCCGTTTCAGTTCGGTATATGAGATATGATCATAATGCAGGAAAGAAAAGAAACACATAAATTTTGACAAAATGATTCGATTCTACACATTTTAGAAAAGGTTAAAATGGTGAATAGAATGATGGTAGAAAACCAATTTTTGGGATTGCATTACGGTATACCGTAAATATCGCGGTATTAGTACAAACGCGGTATACCGTTTCACCCCTAGTTACCTTGGTCTGTCTGCTTTTTGGACTCTTAGTTTTATTTTGGGGAAGGGGGTGTGGGGTGTGTGTCTCGGCATGGAAATAGGGTTGGTGACCCATATGTCATTTTATTGATCTTGTTGATGTCATTGTGCTCTAAAATGTGATGATGATTTATGGACCCATGAAACTTTGGGTTAGAGTTGGTCTTCACCAACCCATGCTTGTAAGAGGCAACTAACAGGATCGGGTGGTCAGGCTCGCTTACTTGGTTGATCAGGGCTCGATGTTAACCTACTTGCACCAGGTGCAACCTAACGTCAGAGGTTTTGGTGCACATAAACATATTTCCGTGACGTAGTACCCATGAAATCATAGCAACACAGATACGCAGCTAATCCCTGTGTACAAGAGCTGTCATAGCCGAGAAGTGTCTATAAATGGCAATGTTTCAGTGCCATAGCTATTCAAAGTTTAGAAGAAAAATGAACTGACATACTTCAATTTGTTATTGATTTATTTCTCAAAAATTGACTTGCACATGGTGCACTTTTGACTAATAACTAGGTTGCACTTTGTGATATTGAGTTGCACCAGTGCAAGTAACAAAGCACTAAATCGAGCCCTGTTGATGCATGTCATCATATCCCAGTTGTGTAGATCGATGCTCACATTGCCAATAACTGGATTGTCTGGTCACGACACCGATATTACTGATAGTCAACACAACTCAGTTGCTGCCATGTTGTAGTCATTAATACTGAGTAGAGTGGGTGAGTGAGGTTTTACGTTGCTTTTAGCAATATTCCAGCAATATCACGGCAGGGGACACCAGAAATAAGCTTCACACATTGTACTCATGTGGGGAATCGATCCCAGGTCTTTGGCGTGATGAGCGGACGCTTTAACCACTAAAGTACTGTCGGAAATGCTAGAAAAATGCTTTTTGACTTATATTTAAAATTCAGAGGTATTACAGTTACTTAAATAACAAATATCACTTCAAGAAACATCTACCTAATGTAGACCGAGGGAATAAATTTTGAGACATGCTCTAAAATGTGTTTTTACTGAAGAAAATGCCAAAAACTTAGAAAAATAAGGGGTAGTGGGACGTTTTTTGATACAAACATTAACTGCCTGTGTTACGTCATGAGCATCCACGGTATCGACAGGTGAAATTGACACCTGAGCACACGCTCGGGCGAGGGGTCATCTCAATAGATGTTTTCTGCAAAATGTTGAATATGTGTACGTATAGTATACGTATTGGTTATGTAAGGGATCATTTGTGTATGTGTGTTTGTTTTGAAATAAACATACGAATTACTGTACATTTTCACATGTGTTATCTTATCGATTGATTGTAGAAATGTGCAACGTTTTAATAAATGTTTTGTATGTCAACAGTATATTTCATTGAAAAAATATGGATGTAAATAATTCGGTCAGGTTATTCTGGTTGTGAACATTGGCCAAAGATTTAACAAAGTCACTGGTGTAGCTTCTTCAGAATATATATATTCTTCTTCTCACAAAGTTTGTAGACCGCCCGCCTAAGCACTCGTTGGCCATAGTGGATGCTGTGATAAAGATGTGCATGCATGACGGGAAACTTATTTATCAAGACTTAACATTTATATTAATATTTCTTCAATAAAGAAACGATAATTAAGTTAGTAACACAAACATTCAACATTTATTTGTTTAGGAAATACGTTAATTCATATTTTTACACCACCTGTATTATTAGCATAAATGTAAAGACTATTTCAGATTTCTGTTGTTGAACTCTGAAGTTGCTGTTTTGGTACCAAATTCTCTCCTGTAAACTGCCCTTTAAATGCATGGGAATGTTAAATCGATTGAAATAAAACTTAGGTACACTATAGGCGAGTTGATATATTGACAACATAGTACATTTATCACCTTTATAAAGATATTAAGGCTAAAAAGCATTTTTCTAGCATTTCCGACAGTACTTTAGGGAAAACTACCCCACCACCCCAGTATTGAGTAAACATCAGCCAAGGAGCTTCAGCAAAAAGTTTCATTAACAACTGCGTTGTTTGATTATCACAACATTACTTCTGAAGGTGTGTGGGGGCGGTGGGGTAGCCTAATGGTTAAAGCGTTCGCTCATAACGCCGAAGACCCGGGTTCGAATCCCCACATGGGCACATTGTGGGAAGCCCATTTCTGGTGTCCCCCGCCGTGATGTTGCTGGAACATTGCTAAAAGCGCCGTAAAACCAAACTCAGTCAGTCAGTCCGAAGGTGTGTGCTGTGTCTGTATTTTGTGTATTGTTGTGTGTACAGATGCTCTACCCCCAAGTCAAGTAAAGAGGAGGACGGAGCATCCAGCCAAGATGCTGATGAAGGAGAGACACAACAGAAGACGCTGGTGGTGCACTCTTGTGAGTATGGGGTGACGTCATCAGGAGACATAGCAATGCTAACCCTGTTTCTTGACATCTGTACTCTACTCAGTGTTACATCTGTACTCTACTCAGTGTTACATCTGTACTCTACTCAGTGTTACATCTGTACTCTACTCAGTGTTACTTCTGTGCTCATGTAGTCCTGGGTCAGGCAATGTTAAGCAGCTTGTTTAGAGTAGGGCAATGGGTTGCTGTATTCAGCAAGCATGCCTCCTGAGGTGTTCAGGGGGTTTCTTCTGAGCTCACACTGACTCACTCGGTAGGATGACTGTTCACCCATCAGGGAATGGGTACCCAGTAGACTCAGATGTTAATGACTGTTCACCCATCAGGGAATGGGTACCCAGTAGAATCAGATGTTAATGACTGTTTACACATCAGGGAATGGGTACCCGGTAGAATCAGATGTTAATGACTGTTCACCCATCAGGGAATAGGTACCCGGTAGAATCAGATGTTAATGATTGTTCACACATCGGGTAATGGGTACCCGGTAGAATCAGATGTTAATGACTGTTAACCATCTACTACCTCCTTAGCAGCTTGGGTTGTATACTCCCCAGGGAGATGAAAACTGCTTACACACTTATACAATGACATGGATTATAGTGTTGTAGTGCTATTAGTATACTGGTAGGCTTAGAATCCAGTGCTATATAAGTGTAATGGGTATTTTTGATATTTGTACTGTAAATTACAAAGGACACACTTAAATCTTGACAAGTGTCCTGTAGCACCCCTGAAAGGAAATGTATTTCTTCCCCTGTAATTCCACATAAAGTTTATTGCTGTTTTCTTTCCCAGCTGCATCTGCTAGTGAATCCGATGAAGGCAGTACCACCACGGTGAAGAAGACACCTCGAAGACAGACGAGGAGTCGATCCTCTAAGAGTTCAAATACAGACTCAGATAGTGATGGAAAAGAAGATGTGACTGCAGTACAAATGACTCCTGTAGCAGAGATCACTCAACAGGCGAAACCAGTCCAGATGGAGGTGGCCGAGGCACCGTCTGAAGCACCACCAACCACACCGCGGCGGTCAAGGCGGGCATCGGTTAAGGGGGATGCCGTTCAGGTTGATGCAAAACAGGCTGCTGATTCCACAGCAGCAGAGGTGGCTTCACCACGCAAATCTAGAAGGATGTCGGTCCGGAATCAGGGCAAAGATGAAGCGGAAGCTGACGCTAAGGTGACAGATGATGAGAATCAAACGCCAGTTAAAGCAACTAGGCGTCGGTCTGTAAGGAGTGTGTCTGATTCTGATTCTGCTGTGGAGTCTGGTGATGCTGGTGATAAGACAGGAACGTCACAGAAGACCAAAACTCCAAGAGGTTCGAGGAGAAGCAGGAGGAATTCATCGGAAACTTCTCTAATGGAGAAAATTCCAGAGCAGGGGTCATCCATGGATGTGATTAAGGAAGAGCAAGTAACAGACTCAGATGATGTTTTCATCGTAACTGTAACTGATGCAACTAAGTCGTCTCCAGACTCAGCAAATCAGGAGGAATCTACTTCGGACTCACAACCATCTGAGGAGGTCCAGGAAGATTCAGAGACATCCAAATCTACCCCTGTGAGAACACGGCGGTGTTCCCTGTCTGATGCGGGATGTTTCCGTGAGCCGGGGTTGCCCATGTCTGCCCAAAAGAGTGGAAGGAAGAGGAGGAGGACAGAAGCATCAGCTACTCCCACCGAGGCAAAGAGTCCAGAGGAGTGGTTAGTGATAACATACGTTCATTTCTAATATAAAAATCATAACAGTGAAATCTTACAGGGTTGGTCACCTGTTGGAGGCTACAGTTTCCAGTAACACAGCCATGGCTGTAACACGTTATATTTGGGATTACACTTTCTCAGTAAAGTACATATTCTAGTACTTTTGTTGGGTTGAGTCCCATAAGGAAATCAAACCCACACCCTCAGAGTCATTCTCCTACCCAGAGTTCCATGCGGCAAGCCAGCATAGTACCTCTGCCACTGGCCAGAAAAATGTGACGATTTGTCACATTTTGCACCGTCCATTCAATATAATGTACAGATTTCTTTTACTCTTTTCTTTTTGACGAGTCTACACATCTAACTAAACATCTTTAATAGAATGAATTAGTTTCACTTAGAAAATATCCAAAAACATGTAACACTATTTCGATTTGCGTAGCGATCCTTTGTTTACATAGGTTGTACGGCTCCACATGCTGTTATCAAAGCCGACAGAGAGCGAAAAATGCAGCCCGTTTGATATCTAAATATGTACTGTCATAGACCTAACTGTCGCAGTTGTGGAAGAATATATATGTAACAATGTAATACATTATGAAGAGAGCGCCGAAAAGCTTTCGTGAGTCCAGTCTCTTCTTATTATGAATATGCACGTTTGATTACAAACAAGAGAAAAGTCCGGTCACGTGATATGCAAATTAGCCTGTGGCAGTGATGTTATGTTAAGTCATCGCTGTGCCGGAGTGTGCCTCAGAGTCAGGCACCTAATCGCCAGCACAGAAAGTCGGACGCCTTGACCGCTCAGCCACTGCGGCTTCCACACCTGTGGACTGTACCTAACAAAATTCTGTACTTTACTGAGAAAGTGTAATCCCAACCATAACATGTTGCATATGACCACTTTTTGAATGGCATTGAGACTAACAGTCATGGCTGTATGTTACTTTACACAGCCAACAGTTAAGATGTTGTATTTTAGCCCAGCAGCATATCCAAACAGAAGTTTTATGTTCTGACATTACATTGATGTAAAGTGCATCAATGTATATCTCAGCAACATGGTGTTGCAAGTCTCCAAACACTTTTAAGGCATTTTTTACCCACACACATTATTTTAACGGCACTAACGTTACAGGGATAGAAATACTTTTTTTTCTAAGTGTGCCTTAGGGCACCAGATAAATATTTTAGATGTGCCTTTCAGAAATCAAGTGTGCCCACATGTTTTTAGAATTATAGACTGTAGCAATGATGATGATCTTTTGAAAATTATTGTTAGAAAACAACAAATGTAACCTGTTTTGTTTTCACCGATATGTCTTCTGTTTAAGATGGCTTTCTTAAGCTTCATTTGTTCTGCTTTCCCCCAACACCTATAATAATTTTCGAATTTTGTGACAGGTTCACTTGTTCAATATATCTAGCATGCACAATTTCCTGTTCAATAACCAAATTATCAGTACTCCCTTCACTCTAAATGGAAAAACAACCACATTTTTTTACATCATCCATCATAATTCCAGTGATTTCCTGGGCGATATAGTCAATAAATATTTTTAGTTGTTTGTCATTTGCGTAAGTGTTTTGTTTGAGGGATTAAATGACTAAAGGTGAGTTATGTCTCTAAAAAATTAGGTGTGCCATAAGGGCACCGAGAACATTTTTTATCCGTGCCATTTCAAAATTTACTGTGCCATGGCACGCTAATACATGGCGTATTTCGAACCCTGCGTTACCAGATTCACATTATTTCTAACTATGGACCACTGCAATTTTCTTACAGGGTGAAAATCTTGTCGACGAGTCCAATGATTGAGATGAGAAGACGTACCCCCAAAGCACCAAGACTCTCAGGTATGCCTTTTTTAAACTTACCAATGTGCAGTTTCCTTACTGTTTTCCCACATATATTTATGTTTAACTTGTTCTTCATTTCATTGATACTTTAAGACCGTAGCACTATGACAATCAAGTTACCAGTCTAAGTAAACTTAGGCTCAGTATTATTCGTTACACGGCTATAGTCACGTCAGCTAACCTCTTCAACTGACCAATCAGAACACAGCTTACAAAATCGCGAAAGTCGACATTCCCACATTCCTTTCGAAGTTTTATCTCGTAAAATTTTGTACCCGAACAATTCCGAATGCTATTTCCCGTACGATCGCTTCCGAGTGATGCACATGGAGCACGTCACAACAGTGAGTAAACAGTCGCTGAAAACAGCGGGGTTTTTTCTCAATATTCAAGGATGTCAGCTTGCGGAAATATTAGCTAATGGTAACCATGTCATCAGAAAGCCCTAAGCGTATACTGCAGGTCAAATATCTGTGTTTATGCAGATTTTCGTTTGTTGAGAGATAACTGTCAGTGACCGGGGAATTTTGTAAGTCCTGCCAAACCCTAAACAATAGCCGTTGTCTGATTGGTTAAATCCGTTCGCCCGTCTCGCATTTGATTGGACGGTCATAGGTCACTAGTCAAAGCTTAGCTGACGCGACCTTCTACTAGGGTTTGTTAGACTCAGTATAAGCAGTGTAACGAATAATACTGAGCCTAAGTTTACTTAGACTGACCAAGTTACCATCATTTTAGCAATGCACTTTGTGGAACCGGAAAGCTTGGTGTAATGACCGTTTTCACTGTTGTGGTGCAAATGAAATGAAATAAAGAGTCAGGGGTGGAAATAACCCATTGCCCGGCGTCCGAGTGCATTTTTTTGTCAAGAATGTTATCACACTGTAATAGTTGACTTTGTTCATCTTTTGCTTATCCTAAAATCAGCGAGCTTGAATTAACTTTTATCAATGGTATATGATGTACGATATCCCAAACATAACATGTTACATATCTTTGATAATTTGCTATCATGTTAACTGTTTTTAATGGTATATGATAGATTCCCAAACATGTTAAATATGCAATATGTTATGTTGTTAAAACACCCCCATACACCCCCATACATGACACTTCCAATTGAGCAGTGGTTATACCAGCATACTAACCGTAATCTTTCTAATCTCTCCTACAGAAGACTCTCTGTCCCAGCCTCTCAACTTTGATGATGTCCTAGACGTGCCTCCGATGGAGAACGGTCCCTCCACTAGTTGTTCTATGGAAACAGATGAACCAGCATCTACAGGCACTGACTCTCAGACTGGCACAGCTAAGGAACCTGAGGCTGAGGCGCCTGCATCAGAAAAGACTGGCACCACCGAGGAATCAAAGAGTCAAGGTAATTTCCTAGACCAATGTGATGTAACAGCATCACTAATGCCCAGGGCTTAATGCAATCAGAAATGTACATCCAGTAAGTGGAAATCTATAGAATGGATACATGAAAAAATACATCGCGTCCTGAGAGACGCATTAACCAGCATTGTACCCAAATTTTGACTATATATTTAATACAAAAATATTAAGTTATAATAATTATAAAATCTTACAGTGCAGCACTCTACACCACTTCATTATTTCACAAAACTCTCAAAACCGTGAAAAATTGGTCTTCAGCAACCCACACTTGTCACAAGAGGCAACTAACAGGATCAGGTGGTTAGACTCGCTGACTTGGTTGATGAACGTCATCATGTCCCAATTGCGTAGATCAATGCTTATGATGTCAATCACCGGATTGTCTGGTCCAGATTCTGTTATTTACAGACTGCTGGAATTTTGCTGCGTGTGACATTAAACAATAAACAAAATAAAAAAAATGATAAAAAAATAAACAAAATTAAAACAAACCATCACATTCCAGAGAGGACTCTTGACATTAATTGGGGGTCCTCTGGACTGTTCTGAAGGCAATGATAAAACCCTGATCCCATGTTTGTTGTCTGAATAAGCTTAAAAGAGGCTTGACTGATAAAATCACCTCAACTATGACCCGATGTAGTAATATTCATTCAAATTTAGGACTTTTTGCATACATGTAGATATGCATCCCAATATTCACCTGAGAAAACCTTTGATAAAATCTGTTTTATTTGCCAAATTATATTTTAAACCAGCCACAGCGGCAGGTGTCCCTGTTGAGGTGGGCAAGGATGGAGGAGAGCATGATGTTCTGTACTTCCGCAACCTGCTCACGTCGGAGACAGCCCGGCTCAATCAGTACATCACGCTGTGGAATAAAACAAAGGAAGAAGAGGCGGCAAACATTGCTGAAGAGGGTGAGCTTATAAACAGATGTCTCTCAAAAAAGAATTTTACCTAAGTAATGTTGATTACACAATGTTGAAGATTTGAACTTTTTATCCCCGCGTTTTGCAGGGGGATATTAAAATGCACTCGTAATTTCTGGAGCAGAACTTCAAAGCAGTTCACTATTTCTTCACCAAACTTGGCACATGGATAGGTCTGGTGGTGTACTGGTGCCCTTTGGCAGTTTTAGATTTCTGAATAAAGCATTTTTTTCGTTTGATACACCCATAAATCATGTCGTCTCTCACTTATTCCGCAGCTTGAATATATGTGTTGTGTGTATTATCCAATTGTTTGAATATTGTACCACTTGCTATAACAATAAAAAAAGAAAGAAAAAAGTTAAATAGACCTCTTTCTCAAAAGAAAGTTTAATGTCACAATATATATTCAGTTATCTATGTCAATACATCTATTTCTAAAGATTCCTATAAAAGATGAAAGGTAAAAAAAATAAAAATAATTTTTTGGGGCGTTTCCATGGCAACACTTTTGACTTTGACTGAATTTGGTGGTATTGCTCTTTTCCTGGCAGGCAGGTTAGTTGACTATGTCCTATTTGTACAGTTGAGGGTCAGATCCGAACCACCGTCGGCCAGGCTCAGCTTCTCATCAACCAGCGGTTCAAACAGTTCCGGGGTCTTGTGGACAACTGTGAGTTCAAGACTGGTGAGAAGGAGACAACGTGCACCGATCTCCAGGGCTTCTGGGATATGATCTACTTTCAGGTATCTGGACTCCCTTTTCTGAACATTTCATTATTATTGGGTCAGGGTGCTTATTGAAAAACTGTTTGCTGGACAACATGTTGGATGTCTTTTAAAAATGTTAGGCTTCTGATTTCATGAACGAAAAACTTGACTTGCTGGATGATATGTTATAAATCTTGTAAAAAATGTTTAGTTTTGTTTTTGAAGCAGTATCAGAAAAGCCTTATAAAAAGGATGGTAAGGTGACCTCGTGGTTAAAGCATTCAGTTATCACACTGAAGTGAGTGAGGATGGTTTTATGTCGCTTTTGGAAATAATCCAGTAATATCAGGGCAGGGGGACACCAGAAATGGGCTCCACGCATTGTACCCATGTGGGGAATAGAACCTGGGTATTTGGCGTGCTGAGCAAATCTTCAGGCACTAGGCTATCCCACCACCCCACTATCACACTGAAGGCCTGGCTGTTTTCCGACATGGATATAAGGTTTAGAGCTAATTTCTTGTGTCCCTTCCCCAGATATTGCTGTAATATTGCTAGAACTAGTAGAAGCACCGTAAAATCATCCTCACATTAACAAAAACTCCTGTCTCAAGTCCCACATGGGTCTCTCCTCATTTTCCCTCCTCCTCTCTTCCTTTCCCCCTCCTCCCTTCCCCCTCTCTCTTCTCCTTTCTCCTCTCCTCCTTCCCTCCCCCAAGTGATATTGCTGTATTGCTATACAGTGTATAAACAAGAATGAAATTGCACCCTCTCATCATGTGGACAGATACTAATCGATGTAGATTCAGCTTCATATTACCAAACATATCCTTCTTCGACAGGTTGAAGATGTGGATAAAAAGTTTGCTGACTTGAAAACTCTACAAGCCAATAACTGGCAGGAAGTGGAAAAAGCTGTGCCAGTGAAAAAGGTTGTCAAGGTAAGCGTTAAGGTTGTATGTATACCAGGTCAATACACTGTTCCATACAGGGCTGTGATCACCTTGGTCTTACATGTACATCGGAACGCTGCTTATCTGGACCCCATGTATAGAGAAACATTACCCTCTGGACGATTGTAACTTGTAACAAAATAATCCCTGAAACATGCTGGTTTATTTCAATTGCTTACAAAAATGCAAAATCCACACTAATGTGTTTCACTTGTGACAATGTTTGTTTTGTGTGTCGTCACCCTGCAGCCAACATCTGTGGGGCAGGGGCTGTTTTAAAACAGTTGATGATGATGTCATCCGTGATGATGATGATGATGATGATGATGATATTTCATTGCAGTTAAAATTTTAAGGGAGTGTGGACAATAGTGACACATGTTATGGATGACAACTTCCTTTATTTATAGGTGTAATGTTTCAATACAGTTTTGTATCCAAACATTGCACCTGCAAAATATAAAGATTTTTGCATAAAATTGGTCATTACTGCACTTCCAAACTTAAAAAATATGCCACTTTGTCTCTCAGTAAGTCACAAGAAGAGTCACAACTACATTGCAGGGGTGGAAATAACCCATTGCCCGACATACCAGTCCAGTGTTTTTTTCTGTCGGGCAAGCAAATTTGTATATCACTCTGTACCGGTGTCCAGTTGACTTTCCAATGTTAATTATGTTGTTTATTTGAAAATCACCAAGAAAATTGGCCGGTATAGTGGAAACATTATCAATGCAGGTGATTTTACATGTGCCACTGTACCGGAGTACACGGGCAATTTTAAAGTTATTTCCACCCCTGCATTGAGAATAGGACATTGTTATAAAATACAGGTGAAGTTTGGTTAGGTTAGAACATTGATTGTTTCTCAGAAAAAGTCGTCTGCTCCACTGAAACCCAAGGCAGGTGGTCCATCCAAGTTTGCGGCCTTCCGGGCTCAGATGAAGAAGCAGAAGGAAGAGGAGGCAAAGCCATCCGCTGCAGCAGCAGCTTCTCCGGCCGAGGCTGTGAAGGTCATTGACTTCGGTTTCTTCACTGTCACGAGTCCTGTCAAGAGCCCGGCCAAACACTGTGAAGGTAAATATTGGACTGCACTAAGCATGCCAACAGTGGGACAGATGAATGGCAAGTGATCAAATTTAAATGTCATCATTATGGTATCCTCGCCATAACTCCAGTCTTAAAAGTCTTAATGTGTCAGGATTTAAAAACTGTGGCACCAAATATCAAGAATCCCAGGATCACCATTAACTTTGAACACTGATCATGATGTTTCAGTGTCTTGATTCAAAATATTTGAATATTTCTGTGCAAAAAACCTTTGAAGGTTCAAATCAGGAGATAAGTGTCTTGATTTGAATATTTGATCGCGGAAAATCTTTGAAGGTTTAAATCCAGTTTAGATTTGAAATATGTTTCTCGATTTGTCTGCACCATACCCCAAGTTGTGAATGTGTGAGATCTGAATCACTTTGGACTTTTCTCTTACATCTTACATCTTACTGACATTCAGTGATATAACTGGAATACCTTTCAAGACCAAGTTAATCTGATTCACTCAGTCAGTCACTCGGTCCATCACTCAGGTAGTCAGTCACTGAGTGTTACTGTTAATGCTACCTTGTATTTTGCGATTTCATCAGCTGGTTCACCAGCTAAAGAAAATACTCCAGAGGACTCAACATCCAAACCAACAAGCAGCGACGTAGCCGCCACCCTCATTACCAAGACTCCACGCAGGAAGAGTTACGTTCCGGCAGTTCCCAGCCCCCTGCTCTGTGACATCACCCCTAAGCCTAAGCCTAGACGTAGCCTGGCCACCCCCCTAAAGAAGGAAGACCCAAGTGTTCCTCTGTCCCCAGTGGGCGTGTTCACCCCACCCCATGCAGCCTCACCAGTGCCAGCTGATACTAATGCCACGCCTAAACGGTAAGCAGAGATCCAAGTCTTGAGGATTTTGGCATAATTGTCACAATTTTTAGTCTAAAATTAAGATGTCCTTCCACAAATTACAGTATTTGTCAATTGTACGGCATAATTTACATGCGGCAAACCATAAAGGAGAAACTGTTGCAAGTTAAGCAACCCTACATTTTGTGAAACTAAGTTCTTGTTACTGAAAGTGTGGTCTCATTTTCAAAGTCATAATAAGCCTTTGACATCCTTAAGTGTCTTAACCAGTTGCTGTAAAAATTGTCATTTTTGAAATAATTAATGATTCTAGTAATAGTTTCCTGATGCTAAAACATTCACTGGTTTGATTCCTCACATGAGTGCAGTGTGAAGCCCATTTCTGTTGTTCCCCACCATGATATTACTGAAGTATTGCTGCTAAAATGGTGTAAAACCATACCCATTCACTCCTGATGCAAACTTGACCGGGTATCATTTGTTACAGGAGAAGCATAAGATTAAGGAAGTCCTTGTCGCTAACCCCAGTCAGCGACCAACCTACAGTATCTGAGGGGACCCCTGGCCTTGACCCTTGCTTCCTTCAGCCGTCAGGTCAACCAGAAGCTGATCCTCACAACACATCTGACCTGGCCATGTTCCTGGAACAGACGACCACACAGCCTGACGACACTGACAGTCATGACACGCCTCTTTCTCCAAGTTTTTCCAACCTTCAGAAAGTAAGTCAAGCTTTTTGTTGACATTCCATTGCAAGCATTACATGCTCACATATGCTTACCGTATATTACTGCAGATAAGCCGAATTTTGAGGACCAAAAAAAGCAGTCTGTAGAAGGGGGTTGGCTTATCTATTGGTTACACTTTCGTCAAAATTTTTTTAGGGGGTAAGAAAACGACATGGTATCGCTTCATGTAAACAAACAAGAGAAGATGACTTTGTCAGTAAAGACGTTAGATTTGCAATTAAACATCACTAGACAAGATTATTTACCTATTTAGTTCTAATTTGTTTTTGCTAAGCATTGTCATATATGCAGGGATTAAGATATCAGGGGACTGCCTCCGTGGTGTAGTTTTCGAGCGTCCGCCCGGAGAGCGGAAGGTCGCGGGTTCGATCCCCGACCGCGTCATACCAAAAGACGTTAAAATATGGTACTTGTTGGTCCCTGCCTGGCGCTCGGCATTAATGGGTACAACAAGGACTGGTCGGCTCGGGAGTCAGTATAATGTGTCTGAGTGGGGTATTCATGCTTCACTGCGGCATGGTATCTCAGTGGGCTAGCACTATAAAACCAGCTTCAATCTGGGCTAGTACAAGCAGCAGCACATACACACGCATGCCCGTCGTCATATGAGCAAAATATTCTCAAGCACGACGTTAAACCCAATTTCACCTCACCTAAGATATCAGGGTACATATCTGTATGTATAATGTGCCTCCTTTACTTCGCGATTGATTGTGATTAAAATTTCGGTACAATGTCGTCCAAGAAATGACATATTTGAAGATGGTTGACTTCAGTCAACATATGTTTTAGATGGTTGTTGTGATCAATGCATTTCTTCAAAGGGGAACGCAAAGGAAAATACCGAATATGAATTTCAAAGGGTGAATTAATATTATTGTAACTGATGTTAATGTTTATAGTTGATAAGTTGCTACAACTGTAGCACATGGGAAGGATATTAATAGAATGTGTCAGACAAGATGGTTTGTATGACCTTGTGGATTATTGTGTATTTAGAATCTACTCTAAGAGAAGGTAAAAGATCTGCGCTCAAGAAGTTACCATCCACTCAGCGGCGACGATCACGGCGTAGTGTCCAGTTTGCAATGTCTCCTGGTAGTTCTCCAGTCTCAAATACCAAATTGCCCTCCACGCCATACAACCGAGATGCATTAGGTGAGTAGTATCAACATTGTTGGACATGTCTCTTACATAAGGCAGGTAGAGTAGCTTTGTGGTTAAAACGTTCTGTCATCCCCAAGTGGGTTCAGAATGTGAAGCCCATTTCTGGTGTTAGAAGATGAACCTGGGACTCATTTAAGAAATGAAATATGTCTAGACATGTACTGTTAGAAAATGGTTAGACCCAGATTTGTTGTCAGATGTAGTGTTGAAATCGCACAATTGATAATTGGTTCATTACCGACGAGCAATCATCGAAACAAATTGGTTAGTTTCCTACACAGGTTGTTATTGCAGATAAGTATAAGGTGGTTCTCTGTTGTTTTTTGCTTTATTTAGAAACTGACATTTGCATTTGCAAATTTCCCATCCAATGTAAAATGATGCAACTTGCTACTTTAAAGTGATGACTAATATATCATTAACATAAACTTCCTGGAGTCTTCAAGAAATATTTAGTCATGACTTTGCAGTAAGTGAAGTGAGTTTACTAAGAATTAAACACATTTTCAGGCCCTGAGAACTTCTAAGATATGTGCTGCCTCCGTGGTGTAGTGGTTAGAGCGTCCGCCCGGAGAGCGGAAGGTCGCGGGTTTGATCCCTGGCCGTGTTGTTGGTCCCTGCCTGGCGCTCGGCATTAATGTGTACAACAAGGACTGGTCGGCTCGGAGTCAGTATAATGTGTCTGAGTGGGATATTCATGCTTCACTGCGGCATGGTATCTCAGTGGGCTAGCACTATAAAACCAGCTTAAGTCTGGGCTAGTACAAGCAGCCGCACATACACATACACGTGCATGCACCTCGTCATATGAGCGAAATATTCTCAAGCATGACGTTAAACCCACTGTCACCTCACCTCACATCTAAGATATGTTCCATCGTCCAAAGTTTCAAACACTAAAACAGTAGTTCCAAAATTGGTTGTGTTCAATTATGAGAAAATGTGTTCAATTGCTTGGTTGTTTGGTCACTGCAACCAAGCTTTGATTATTTCAATTAATCGGAACATCACTAGTCCGATGACTAGTACACAAATAGTGCTGTTACAAAATAATCCCTTAGTCTGATGGAATATGTAGTAAGGTATCCTGGAGTGGTAGAATGAGAGAACTAATGAGTGAGTGAGTTTAGTTTTACTCCGCGAGAGAACTAATGAGCTACATTGAACTAGATTAGATTGAAGCACTGTGATTATTCATGTCTTCAACTGACTTGTTAGCAGTCAGAATTTCTAAAATGCACATTTGCACAAATCATAATGATTCCATATTTTGTAATATCATTTAATGTGACCTTACAATCAATGTTGTTACTAATTTGTCAAGATTTATGAAAAGATACATGGAGATATTGGAATGTTGAAGAGTCATTCGTGATGGCTGCATAATGTGATCTTGTTTCCAGTCCCCAAGTCACGTTTGAGTCATGGTGAATACCTGTTCACACCCCCGAAGGAGGAAACGGAGCCTGAGCCTTCAGCCGACAGTACTCCAACACAGCAAAGGAGACCGGTATGTTAATTTCACATGGGGATCAAGAATCTGTAGTTGTCAAAGATGGGGCAATTTGTTGTTCAGAGTTATGTCCCCTTGCCATGCTGGAAAGCGATGACTGGGTTCGAATCTTGGTTTGCCTGAACCTTGTTGTATACTCGAATATGTCGTGATGAATATGTGTCACTGTAATAATCTGAGCAGATATTCCATGATTCCCATACAGAATAACTATCGCACTGAAGCAAAGATATCCTTACATGAAATATCAGTAGTTATAAGCACAGCTCAGTGATACGAAACTAAAAATATGATACGAAACTAAAAATATGATACGAAACTAAACATAATCACTCCTGCTTTGTCTGTTACTTGAGGTTCGTACATTTCATTATAAGGTTTATAGCTATACATGGCCTAGATTTTTTAAGCTCTCTTAGCTAGTCTTAAGTTAATGTATGGCACTTACGACTATCTTAGCGCTAAGAGAGCTTCGAAAATCTAGGCCCAGGTTCATATAACAATACTTTGTGTTGATCTGTAGCGCGAGATTATGGCTGGATGTATTGCATGTATATTTTTGTTACAAATTTTATTAAAAGTTTTCAACTTAAGTATCATTGTTTGTGCTTAATAACGTAGGTTTTACAAATTGTTTTTGGAATGTTTTGTCCAGAAACATGGTGGATGTGGTCAGCTTACTAGCGATGTATAACATGTACGAGTTTGTCACAGCTGGGTGGACGTTGTTATGTTTGAAAGTTCAGTTTTTTATAACATGGATTACAAACATATTTCAAATTTTTAAACTTATCCTATCTCACGACTTGCACCTCTCTCTTGCTTCGACTTTAAGTGGAACGACTGTAAACTTTTTTCCATAGGCCTCCTTGTCCATTCGCCCGTGCACACCATGCTGCTCTCCTTAATTAGCTTCCTAGTTCCTAATAAAGCTTGCAGCATGCTCCACTAATTGCCCACGTGACTACCTTGAATGATCATTCTCTTTCTTGTCGCACAACTGTATGGACGTGCTGTATATTAGGGACATTATTTCACCCTAACATCATGGGGAAAACTGATAATCAGTCAAGGAATAGGAAAGTTTTTGCTCAATGCAAGACAAATTATTCGTCCCTCGACTCTCACTCGTCTTGCAGTGACTGTATTGGACAATGCAACTGGAACAAGCGATGTGGCAAGTGTAATTCACTAAAAGATGAGGATTTTAAGGCCTACCTTCGTGTTTACTCCCGGAGAATCGCCGATAGGGACAGGAAATTAACAGAATCTGATCCCACTCCCGCCAAGCGTATCAAGTTACAGAGACAGAAAATCGTACCTTCACACAAGAGAGCGACGTCTGTGGTTCAAGAGGATTTTATGGAGGCTTCATCAGATTCTTACTTATCTGAGGACATTCGGCACCTATTGCATACGCATCAATCACCTCCTTCCATAGCGTCAGATCACTCGCGGGTGGTTGTGATCGAGAATTTTTCATTGCCTGTCCCATCTACACTACCAGGGGACCTTAGATCAACACTATCATCATCCAGATCATCGGTACATATCCCCTCGACTGTCTCAGTTCGTTTGGAGCCTGGCCAACTGCGTTCAACCAGCCAAATGTCTCCCCACAGTTCATTGAACCGGACGGAGCTGGCTACAACAGCGTCGCCGGGGGACGTTCATCATGAATCAACACTTCAGGTTTCCTCACCTAACGCCGATCTAGATCGCCACATCATTCTAGATCACCACAATGATCTAGATCACCACAACGATCCAGATCACCATCACATGCCCGATCTAGATCACCGTGCCGATCCAGATCACAGTCACGATCCAGAGCACAACTACGATCCACATCACCTGATCAATCCAGATCACCAAACGGGTCCAGATCACAACTTCGAATCAGATCACCGGACAGATCCAGATCACCTAACCGATCCAGATCACAACCGAATTGGACCATCCTCAAAGATCTGTACGTCACCAACCTGCTACTTCACGGCTATCAGCTACCCGTTATTGGCAGTCCACCTCTGACGTCGCATCAGGCTCATCGCTCATATCCTGTGGACCAGCTTCAGACTCTGCAATCCACCATAGGTACGCTATTAGACAAACTCGCGATAGAGCTCCTAGGTCCATCGCCCGTCACTCCAGGATTCTACACCCCCATCTTCTTGGTTCCAAAGAAAAATTCCAACAAACTCCGGCTCATCTTCAATATGAAGTTGTTGTATGCCCGATTCCTGCTTCCACCGCCTCACTTCAGGATGGTGTCGATCAACCATTTACGCACCATCCTGAAGAAGGGAGACTTCCTTATCAGCCTAGATCTTCAGGATGCTTATCTTCACGTTCCGATACATCCAGAACACCGGAAGTACCTTCGCCTCATGTTCAACGGGAATCACTACCAATGGAAAGTCCTACCATTTGGAATTTCCACGGCCCCGTGGCTTTTTACCCGAATTACCAAGCCCATGACGAGCTTCCTCCACTTTCAAGGGATCACCTTCGAAAGCTACATAGACGATTGCATCCAGGCTCAACAGGATCCGATCGTATTGCTTCGCCAGCTACAGTTCACCACCATGCTGCTCAGACAGTAAGGGTGGCTGTTGAACATCGCGAAATCGGAACTAATAATACCGACTCAGAAACTCCAATTCATCGGAACACTGTTCGAGACTCGTCAGGGGATGATGTTCGTACCTCACGACAGGTGGATAAAGATTCAGCAATGCATTCCTCCAGGACTCTCAGGCAAGAACCTTACGACAGTGGCAGGAGCTACTGGGCCACCTGACGTCCGCTCAAGCCTTAACGTACAGAGGGGGTACCTTGTAAATCGTGGCAAGGCGAGGCTTACTTGCCGAGTTGCGTTGCTTGTCTTGTACAAGGTTGGGGCCGAACACCACATCGCTCGTCAACACCACGCTCGGGAGCACCCATCTCCCTGGGAGTCGTTGTGTTCAGTAAGCCAAGGGGTTCCGGAGAACCCACTACAAGCATAGGAGTTGCGTGCATGCGTAAGAGGCCTCCCTTGTACATCGCTATCTACGGTTGTCATCAGTCCACACAGCTCCAAGACCAGCTGTTCGCACTGTCCAGACAGAAGGGTAATCTGCGGCCCGCCGTCCAACCGTGGGATAAGTGCAAGTCGTGAGATAGGATAAGTTTATATACTTATCCTATCTCACGCGATGGATGCCCGTCCGGCCTCCCCCCTACTCAGATTACAACGTTGGCTCCAAGATGAGAATGATCATTCAAGGTAGGCACGTGGGCAATTAGTGGAGCATGCTGAAGCTTTATTAGGAACTAGGAAGCTAATTAAGGAGAGCAGCATGGAGTGCATGGGCGAATGGACAAGGAGGCCTATGGAAAAAAAGTTTACAGTTGTTCAACTAAAAGTCGAAGCAAGAGAGAGGTGCAAGTCGTGAGATAGGATAAGCATATAAATATACAATTTATATTAAAATTCCCAATATTATCACACATATGATGATATTATTACGGTTTATATTAATAAAAGGACTATTTCGAAAATGTATAGCGTAATGTCATCGTAAGTACATGTGTTGAATATATGGAACAAGTGTCAACTTAAGTGCCGTGTCTGGCCTTAATCTCTGCACTACACAAAATAACACTCTTATTTCAGCGGCCAAGTCTTCTGTTCACCCCAGCCTGTCAAGACAGTGCAGCAGTGAGTGCTGATAACCTGATGGTGTTCACACCTTGACTTCGTCCACCATTTTGTCTACCCAGCTACACATATGTTCATAGTGCAGGATGAACCAATCACCGCTCAGCCCCTTGTGTAAAGTACAGAGATTTTAGATGCCAGTATTTTAGATCGCAGAAATCACTGAGTTTTAGTTGTCAAGGACAACACTGGAACTATATTGGTGATATTTTTATATGTAAGAAGGTTGCAAGTAGTTCTGTAACTCAGAGATCACAGTTTTGTTTATATTTGGTGCCAAAATGGCTTGTGAAAGTCAAAGCCTTAGTTTGAATCAGAAGTGCTTATAGATTTGGAATTAATGAAGAATTATTAAGTGTAGTTGTGTTTTCATGAACTAAGAATGTTGTAAGATTTTTGTAATGCCTTAAAGCTCTTTATCAGTGGTCAAGAAATATGTATGTGACGTATTGAGATTGTAAAGTTTCTCTGCCTTGTTTCCTATTGTGATCTTAGCGCCAAGGCAATAATAAGTAACAGGGCCGACAAACATAGTGCTGAAATCTCTTTGTTGTTAGTTCCCTTGGTCAAATTCACAAGGTGATCTTAGCGCCAAGACAATAATCAGTAACAGGGCCAACAGACAGTGCTGAGATCTTTGTTGTTAGTTTCCTTGGTCAAATTCACAAAGTGATCTTAGCGCCAAGACAATCATACGAAACAGGGCCGACAGACATAGTGCTGAGATCTCTTTGTTGTTAGTTCCCTTGGTCAAATTCACAAAGTGATCTTAGCGCCAAGACAATAATAAGTAACAGGGCCGACAGACAGTGCTAAGATCTCTTCGTTGTCAGTTCCCTTGGTCCAGTTCACAAAGTGAGCTTAGCGCAATCGTAACTCAAGTGGGGAACAGATGCAGTTCTTCCTGAGGCAGGTCCTGGGATCCAACTCACACGACAATCTTAGCATGAAGACACTCATAACTCCCACATTCACAGTCTCAGAGCTAAGACTGCTTTTTCAGACTTGGCTCTATGTCCAATTGACAAGATGATCTTAGTGTTAAGACAGTCGTAACTCCCTCATTCTCATTCCCAGAGTCTCAGAGCTAAGACTGCTTTGTCAGACTGGATGCTGGGTCCAATTTAAATGATCTTTGTTCTAAGACAGTTGTAACTCTGAATGTCAGAGCTAAGACCCAGGAGCAAGATGGTCCAGTTCACAAGATGAAAAGAAACCTACATATCTGTGTGAAGCTGTGAGTTAAGATGGTCATATCAGTAAGACCTCTTTATGCACAGGAGATCTTGTATATACAGTAACTGATCACTTTTGTATAGAACACTCACATAACTCCAGTCTGGTAAAACAGAAAGGCTGTCATTGACATATGTAAATATATGTGATATGTATAACAACCAGAAGAATTATAGCACCCTGGTGGTTTAAGACTGGGCCTGTGTCAATGTTTTTAACTGTTGTACGGGACAGGCAATTAGCCAGTATCCACAAATTCATGTTCTTAAAGACATAAGTGAATAGCTTTGACGAATATCAGCCACTTTTGCAGGAACTCAGAATGAAGTAGTAGGGGGGATAATCGGATTAACAGTTTAAACTGTTTGCATGATTTTGATTATTGAAAAAAGATGCCACTTTGTTTCTGCAGTCTGTGGAATTGCCATGGTAGTTTATATTTTATATTAATGATTTCTGTTTCTCCTTTGCTCTTCTGCCTATCTTTCTGTATTGCTGTAAAATGTCTTCAAATGAACTCCGTGAATACAACTGGCACAGTCATGTATTCATGAGCGTCTGGTGTTCGATGAATTACACAATATTCCAGCCTTATCTCTGCAGTGGACAACAGAACTGAGGGACCATGATCCTAAACAGGGCAGCAGTTAGACTTAATGGTGGTCTACTTGTCTGTGGCTGATATTTGAAAGAGGTAGTGACTTGTTAAAAAGTGTGTGAATAATCTCACCAAAGCTCAGAATTTACCTCCTAAGGACATTCCACTAATTGAAGAACCTTCCACAAGTCAGAGCATGCAGCGTGGCTTGTTAATGATTCTCACAACTTCCTTTGGTCATAGTAAAGGTTTTGTGTTTTTCCAAACCTCTGTCTACATTGTCAGTCATGCTTGAAGACTTTCCAGCCCATCTCAGTATTTATTTGCCTTCATTCAAGATGGGTGTAATGTTGATGAAAATGGTGGATTCAAGGGCTACATGAGATATTATTAATTATTACCTATTATCATAATCATAGACACTGCATTAAGAAAATAAGCTGTTTGATAGTTTCTTGGTACTTATGTAACTATATTAGGTCCATTTGTTTTTTATACATCCAGGACAGATTGAATATTTACGTGTACAGAGAATATCAAATAAATATGCTAAGTCTTGGAGGATTTGTTGTGTTTGTTGAGCACAGTGGACTGTGTGATCTGTAATTGTGCCAAAATATGCTGCTCACACTTTGCTAAGGATCACAAAAATTCCCAACTTTGCTTTAACATACCGGTAGATTTAGTATTTGAAATTGTATCCATTTAAAACTGGATGCAGTAACCCCTCTTTTGGCAAACAGCCACTTTAATCTAACCCTATGCACTTGATACATGAATAGCCATAAAAATGGTTTTCGTGGCACCAATCAAACATTTTGCAGGTATGGGATCCACAAGATGCAATGACAAACTGAAACCTAGGATCCATGCTTACAATAAGCTTAGATATTTAAACCAAATTAGACACAACATAGTCTCAAATCATTGATTCAACAGCAAACTTAGCAATGTGTGAATAGTATACCATGATCAATGTCTTGAAGATGATTTCACTTACATACACAGTAATGTCACATTTGTCAATATTTCATATTGTGACAAATATACACAGTAACTATGGTTATATCTAAAGGACCACCAATTCTAGTGTATGGATTATTGTGTTGTTAACAAATAAAGTGGCCAAGAAAAACAATTTGTTATAAATGTATTGTACTGCAGCATGTGCATGGGTGTCCGTATTAATGCGAGTTCTTTCATTTTCTTGTCCACTGAGTTTCAGACCTTGGGTAGCTGAATGCGTGACGTCATCCACTGACTGCACAGCTTGTCTGCCCTAGAAATGATTATTTACATTATGTCATCATATTGCTGGGCGTTAACTACCACACAAAACAAACATCTTCACAAAGAAAAACAATACTGAACCAGTTTATTCAGACATCTCCCATAAATATACATGAATGTACAAGTATAACGTCACACCCCTTGCCCACGACATGCTCCCATAGGAACACTCCATTAACAATTTCTACAACCCATCTGTCTGCTGATAAATGAAACATACCAGTACCCCTTATACAGTAACATGGGTTTATATATCATCTCTAAAGGAGGTCAATTTCCTTGGAATTTTAGAAACAGGGCATTGAATGTTCTTTTTCGGTTGAGTTCATATCCGTGACAGCAAATTCAAGCTTCATTGATTCCAACTGGGACTGTATGCATAAATGAAACGCTTACCGGTACTTAAGTTTCTTTTGAAAACTATTTCTTCTGCTCGCTGAGTTTTCCCCCTTGGATTGTCAAGATGCACATCAATAAAGACGAAAGCACAATTTGCACAGAGCAATTTAAATGCAAATTTACAATTGTTGTTCAATGATGGCAACAGTGGAAGAGTTTTAGTGAGTTTAGTTTTACGCCGCACTCAGCAATATTCCAGCTATATGGCGGCAATACTGGAAGAAAATCATGTAATTGCACAACACGAGCCATTCTTGCTTAAACATTTGAGAATTATACATTGAAGATGTCAGTATTCAGAGTTTCAAGTTTTCAAATAACTGTTCAAGAGGAAGACGGTTATATCAATCTTTGAACCACATTTAGCAATATTTCAGTAACATCATCGAAGGGCATCCCAGAAATGAGCTTCACTCATTGTTCTCGTGTAGAAGAACAACCATGGCCTTGTCAAGTGAGGTGAGGTGAAATTGGGTTTAAAGTCGTGCTTGAGAATATTTCGCTCATATGACGATGTGCATGCGTGTGTATGTGTATGTGCAGATGCTTGTACTAGCCCAGACTTAAGCTGGTTTTATAGTGCCAGCCCACTGAGATACCATACCACAGTGCAGCATGAATACCCCACTCGGAGCCGACCAGTCCTTGTTGTACCCATTAATGCCGAGCACCAGGCAGGGACCAACAAGTACCATATTTTAACATCTTTTGGTATGACGCGGTCGGGGATCGAACCAGCGACCTTCCTATCTCTGGGCGGATGCTCTAACCACTACACCACGGAGGCGGTCCCATGTCAAGATGAGCAATGGTTTTAACTACACTTGTAAATACAAAACAATTTCTGAATGACAGTGGGCTAATTTTGTACAAAATAAGATGTATATGTCCATTTTTATACTTTTCCTCTTCAAGCAATGACTTTCCATTGATGTCAAAGTTAAGTAACAATCCAATGATGTCAAGGTTGGTTTGTTGTTTTACGCCGCACTCAGCAATATTCCAGCTATATGGAGGGGCACTCTGTAAATAATCGAGTCTGGACCAGACAATCCAGTGATTAACAACATGAGCATAGATCTACGCAATTGGGATACGATGACATTCTGGCGAGTCTGATGGCCTGATGGCCCGAGCCTCTTACGTCAAGCATGGAGTAATCTTCAGATCTTCACAGGCCTGTGCCATAGTAACGCAACCTTTTCCCCTGGCAATTGATTCACCATTCGTTGAGGGCGGTGGGTAACCTCTTGAGCTGCTCGTCAATTAAAAAGGCCAAGGTTTGATTGCCTACAAGGCTAAAACACATGAAGCCCTGCCGTGATATTGCTGGAATACTGCTAAAAATGGAATAAAACCATACTCACTTATATATATATATATATATTCATACCAGCCGACCTAAATCATTATATAGTGAAACCTTGTTTATCTGGAACCTGGGTGATGGACAATCACCTCTAGAAATGCATACACAGTCAAAAGCCACTGTCAAACATGTAAATCATAAAGGCTTGTTCCCGAATGTATTCCCTTTTTATGCATTGATTGTTTGGAACCTCTGATAACTCAAATATTTTACTTATGTCAATTCAACTTCGACTTGTTTGTTGATACATTGCAACAAATGTATCGGGTACATAAGTAAATCCATCAATACACTTGATTTCAATGGGAATGATCGTTTCAAGATCTAACACAAGCTCACTGTGTTCAAATTACTATCAATATGATTGTCAAAGGATTAGGTAGAGTAAGGGTCCTTCTTGATTCATAGAGGGGCGGTGGGGTAGCCTAGTGGTTAAAGCGTTGTCTCGTCACACCGAAGACCCGGGTTCGATTCCCCACATGGGCACAATGTGTTAAGCCCATTTCTGGTGTCCCCCGCCGTGATATTGCTGGAATATTGCTAAAAGCAGCGTAAAACTAAACTCAGTCATGCAGTCTTGATTCATAGGAATGCATAATTTAAGATTTGGGCAGAATGGTGAAAATTGTTATCAAAGTTGCCATGGTTAACAGAGCCAAATATGTTCGACTGAATGAAAATTAAACCTTGTGAATTTCAACTGCATATTTGGGTCTTACGACAACATATACGAATGAAAGTTGTGGACAAGCCAGATTTTAGACATTTTCAGAGGTTTTCTAGTAGCAACAAAAGCAAGTCTTTGACCCAGATTTTCATAGATGCAAATAAAAACAATAGAAATATATGGTAAAATAATTTGTCTTGGGTCACACACTTGCTCATTCTTAGTTTCCATAACTTTAATACATGACACTTCTTGAAGGCCCTTATCCTACCTCCCTTGTAAAATGCCTCTCCACAATTTCAGAAGTGTCAAAACAACAATCAAAGACAAAAACAAATTACAATGACCTTCCAGTGTAAAGAATCCCAAACAATTATCTCACAGAAAGATGATGTACAGTTGAATAGAAATATATCCCTTAAAAACAGAAACAATGAGACCATAATGAAAGCAAATGTCTGAATATGAAACCAACTTGTGGGCTAGTCTAATGTCATACACCACAAGAATCTAAATTATGCAAATGAGTTTACAATAAGTTTACATATCGAATTAATGTTGTACACTGTTAATTAAAAAGAGACATTTGTAAGTAATCAGATTGTCATAAATAGGGAAAATATCTTTAGGTATTTCCAAAAGCCACTGTGGGATAAGGACCTTTTTTGACGCCAAGGTCTGCATAATTTAAGTAATTATCCAGATTCTAGGATTTGTCATGAAAACTTAGTGAAATACACATATTTGCACTTTAAACGACACAGATCTAAAATATGTCGTAAAGGCCGACTTCAGGAAACAACATGAGTACATCTTTGACCAGAGCTGATTTTCTGATGGCATGTAGATAAAGAAATTACACAATATGGTATAAATATCATCTTGGGTCAAGAACTTGAGCAAGAATGGTTCTATTTGTAGTTTATCATCCCAGAAGTGCAAAACTTGCAAGCATAAGAAACAAAAATACTTGCTGCCAACATTTAAAAATGTCTCATATTGTCCGTATTAATAAAATTTCTGCAACTTTCAAGAGATTCAAAAACAGCCCTTATCCCAACACCTCCCTTGATAACAATGCGCATATGGAAGACATATTTCGAGCACAGAGCATATTCACAGCAACAGAGACAAGTATCCATGCGACAACCCTACATACCATGTAGCATTATAAAGATATATATCTCTGTGTATATACACAGTCACACCAAACATAACATTATGTTACATAATGATAAATGAGAATTCATAATGTGCCTTTTCCATGTACATGGCACATGCTCAAAGCGCTAGCACACTATTTATTTCCCCAGATAACCCAAGCTGCCTGTGAGGCGCTAGAAGGTTAATAGTCACATGACTTATCCCACCGGGTACCCATTTTCTGCAGGGTCAACAGCATGGAGGTCAAACCTCCACAGGAAACATCACATACCTCAAGCTTCCTGCAACATTACTAAACTCAACACCACAATGACGATTATAAAGTGGTCAGATGCAACAAGTTATATTTGGTATTATCAACACAACAATCACCATTTCTTTAAACTTCAGGGCCCCTATCCACAAAGCGTTCGTAACATTACGACCAAAGTTATATTTGGTATTACAGATCCCAACAATCACCATTTCTTTAAACTTCAGGGCCCCTATCCACAAAGCGTTCGTAACGTTACGACCAAAGTTATATTTGGTATTACAGATCACAACAATCACCATTTCTTCAAACTTCAGGGCCCCTATCCACAAAGCGTTCATAACGTTACGACCAAAGTTATATTTGGTGTAACAGATCACAACAATCACCATTTCTTTAAACTTCAGGGCCCCTATCCACAAAGCGTTCGTAACGTTACGACCAAAGTTATATTTGGTGTAACAGATCACAACAATCACCATTTCTTTAAACTTCAGGGCCCCTATCCACAAAGCGTTCGTAACGTTACGACCAAAGTTATATTTGGTGTAACAGATCACAACAATCACTTGAAACTTGCGGATCCCTATCCACAAAGCATTTGTAACGTTACGACCTGTCTTAAAGGTCACATGCAACCAAAAAATCAAACATAATTAAAACACAATTATCACTTCTTCATGACATATAATATGCATTGCTGATTATGAAAAAACAAATAAACAAAATTATAAGCGTATAATCGCAAATCAAAAGTGCAATATTTTGTACTTGGGTTTACCGCCCTCGAAACGAAGCAGCCGGGATACCGAGCCCAGTCAGAGCGGGTGGGTGTGAGCTCAAGTGTAACGGCTGGTTCATTAGCAGATGCTGCCTTAACGGCTGATTGTGTGTGTATATATAGAGATGTTGGGTTTTGTAAATACATGCTCATTTTTTGTGTATAACATTTTGCAACCAACAGACATCATAACATGTCATGTGTTAAAGTATCACACCTGCCTGTCTGTGTAATTACATAATGTGACAGCGACCGAACTCGGGCCATAAATCAATGCGTTTTGTTTATGGTGTATAGCCTGATTGGTGTTAAGTTCAAATTGCATGTGGTCAGTGATCGCGCGGTTGTGTATTGAATATTGTCATTAGCAGACAGGCAGGCAGACACACAGGTGTCAATAAAACAAGACATTGAGTTTTGTCTGTGACAGCGACATATCTATATCACAGTTAGAAATTGTGTCAGCGCTAAATAATGACATTGCTTTTAAGTATCGAACTGAGAAAGTGACTCGGTAAGAAGAACGTGTGGTGAAATAGACAAATGAAATTATATAAACAGTTTATTTACTGTCATAACATATAAAAGCTCAGCCTGTGAGATATCAACAAAACATTATGAAAATAGCTCACACCAAAGCCTACACCGAGTATTCACCAGACAGCCCGCTTCCAAGTTGCGCGAACCTATTTCACTGCGCACGTGCTATGAGCGCAGCCCAGTTGTTGAAACCCGTATTCCCCAGAAAAGTCTGGGGAAAATTAGTGAAACGTTTGAACTCCGATTTCGCGCGTTTTTTTTCATTGCGTTATTTTTCAACTTTATAAGTTGAATTTGCATTTTTGACGCTTTGTTTCGGTAAGTCCATACCGAAAGGTATCAGAATCTGAAAAGTTGTGTTTTACGTTGCATGTGACCTTTAAGTATATATATTATCATAAGCTAACGAATGTCGTAGTGCTATGAACGCTTTGTCGATCGGGAACCAGAAAAGTACTTCAACTGCCATTCAATATATACTGGCCTAGATATTTACAAGTACACAAGTGTCAGTAATATTGCACATAAACTTAATTCTGACTATCATAATACCAAATTGGAACTGTATTTGTTTTTGGACTCAACAAATCACAGGGAGTCATGGTCAAGCATTGTGAAAGAGTGGACAATAGGGCTACCTAAAGAAATCACTCATAAAAATATTGTAATACAAACCAACATAAGCGATTTGAAACTATGATCGTTTGTTAAACAACTTTTTTCCTAAGTTGAACAAAAATCTAAGATTTAAATTTTCAATTGGCAAGGTAGAATTATGGGGATTCGCAATCTTAATTTCACTTTATTCCATTTACATTTTTGTTTAAAGTGAAATTCACCGGTACGTTTTCACTGCAAACAGACTTTAGTAGCTACACCGAAACGTTTGATAATATTGATAGTAGCTATACCAAAATGTCATTTATATTAATAATCAAGACGTTGAATATCAATAGAACTATCTGTTGTTCATCACACCAAATTCTAAACGGCACTCAAAGAAGTCTTTCAAGAGGCATCGTCTGATGCTGTTACCATGGTTACGTTAATGCAATCATCTGGTTAAGGCACAATACAAATAGTTGAAACATCATCGCATCCTGGAATGATCTCCACCTAATGAAGAAATGGTAAACCTGTACATTTTCTGTTATACACGAGAAACCAAGGTGATATGTTCATATGGCTGACGACCAACACTGATTGAAAATTGTTCACGTTACAATATTCCTTGATACACAAGAACCAAACACAATGAAAACCAGCCGACTGAGTTAATGGAAGTTAATGTATGGATGAAGTAGATACAAGGATGATATCAGTGATAAACATGCAAGTAGATATTTCACATTGATCAGAGTATATCGAAATTAGTTAACCTCTCAAAACAAAATATAGGTACAAAATATGTATTCTATCAAATACGCACGCACTCACACAGACAATGGATTTCTTAAGTGAGGGAGTTAGTGTAACACCGCTTGAGACAGATTTTCAGTTATATAATGGAATGCCAGCTTCACGTGTCAGGAAAGCTCAAGTGCTGACGGTGTTGACATTCACCACTTTGATGAATCCCTCAATGGAGGTATGGCGCTGGTAAACTCAGAAACGTAAAATTCAGTACATCGTAAAACTCTAGCTAATACTAGTATCCTATTGCTGAGGCAATATCAACCAAGGATTAATCTTATGAACTGAATAAAGCATTAATTATATGGACTAAATAGAGTACTATCAACAAAGGATTAATCTTATGGAATAAATTAAGCAATATTGACGAAGGATTAATCTTATGGACTGAATAAAGCAATATCAACCAAGAAATAATCTTATGGACTCAACAAAGCAATATCAACCAAGGATTAATCTTATGAACTGAATAGAGCAATATTGACCAAGGATTAATCTTATGGACTGAATAAAGCATTAATCATATGGACTAAATAGAGCAATATCAACAAAGGATTAATCTTATGGAATAAATTAAGCAATATTGACCAATGATTAATCTTATGGACTGCATAAAGCAATATCGACCAAGAATTATCTTATGGACTGAAAAAGCAATCTTGTGGGCTTGAAATAGCAGGAATGACCAAGGATAATTTGCGCAGACCTGAAAAACCCAAGGTTGATAAAAACAGGTTTGATGGCATAAAAATCTATAATTGATAATCATACTGATTAGGACTTTGCCAAAATAAGAATCATAAATAATTCACGACATCTTTACACTGGCTTTGCTAGGCAACCAATTCCATTAACATACAGAAAGAAAAGATAAAACAATTCATTGAATAGATATGATATAAATAATGACAATGTGTTCATTGTGGCAAGAAAATGTGTACATATTGGCAGACTATTTTCTCTTATATGTACTACATGCACCTTATCCATTAATACATGACCTCGAGGTACAATATGCGTATCATGGTACAGAGTATTACAAAACAAAAAACATTAGTATGAGGATGGGGCACACTCAAAAAAGACATTCTCACAAACAACACTGGCAATGAAACATCCCAAACAAACAATACTTGCAGGAATCAGCTTCAAGGAACCATGCCACTACCACTATTACATTCACAGTAAGCGAGTCAGTGTTAATTCATGTTGTGTATTCTTAACAACAATGGAACGACCGTATATCGCAGCCCATTATATGATTCCGCCTGTAACACTTCCATGTAAAAACCTTCAATGCTGTGTTCGCTTCCAACATCGTTAATATCACCAAAAGAACCTAGAAAAATAGCTAGATCCAGTAAATCCCCCCTTTCATAACCCCCTAATTCTTGGAACAAGAAATTTGCTAAATAGACTGTGATATACATATATAAATCGCATTTTTCTCTGGACCTTAGCCTCAATTTCAGATTATTTAAATGACCAAATAAATATATATTTATAAGTAAATATTCCACAAAATAGTTCATAAGCCATGTGTTAAACTGGTAAGGTCATGTTTGAAACAAAGAGTGACGCTATAAGTGGTAGCACCAGAATAACTAGAAAATAATCCTGTAATAATATCCTTCATATGTTTCCTGTATCCTAAGAAGCTACTGTGTGAATTATAAACATCATCATAAACCCTATCACAAGATACACATGACTGTCCTTCCCTACGAACCCCATCTAGAGTTACCTCCCCTGTTTGAAATCATTTGGACTTCTTTTCTTCTTTTTTCTTGGCATCATTACTTTTCTTAAATTTTTCAACCACAGGTGCAAGTTTTTCCAGATAGTCAAAGTGATCGTACAATGTGGCAAGTAAGCCTTTATCATTCTTATAGTCATTGAATGGGGAGTAGTCGATGATGTTTCCTTCTAATGTCGTCATTTTACCATCCATGGCACTGATGATGGCGTTTCCGGCACAAATGTCCCACTTCTTGATCAGTGTCACATGGGTATATGCGTTCACTTTCCCCTTGATCACCTCCAGAGTTTTGTAGCCTGAAAGTAAATATATATATATATAATCAGAGGTACAGATAAGCTGCGTATCTGCGTAAATACGCAAATATTTATATGAAAACTCAATTCCTATTAAGTCTATTGCGTACAAGTATGCGTGAATTTTTGTAAATACTCAATAAATGTGATCTTACATGTGTACACACAAAAATGTCTAATCTTAGCTTGTGTACGTGTGGATAGATAAAATAACTGAGGTATATTGTGGTTGTATTTCAGGACATGAACTTGCAGTCTTTCTCATATTACAGATCAAATATAAATAACAAACACTAACATTTAAACTTCATTATATTTTTAAAATTAATGGAAAATGGCAAAATACCCAATTGAGCCTGAGTGAGGTGAGTACAATTTATTTGGTTACTCAATGACTGACTGACTGAGTTTGGTTTTACGCCGCTTTTAGCAATATTCCAGCAACATCACGGCGGGGTACACCAGAAATGGGCTTCACACATTGTGCCCATGTGGGGATTCAAACCCGGGTCTTCCGCGTGACGAGCCAACGCTTTAACCAGTAGGCTACCCAACCGCCCCCGGTTACTCAATGGAAAATTAAGACTGACTGACTGAGTTTGGTTTTACGCCGCTTTTAGCAATATTCCAGCAACATCACGGCGGGGGACACCAGAAATGGGCTTCACACATTGTGCCCATGTGGGGATTCGAACCCTGGTCTTCGGCCTGACGAGTCAACGCTTTAACCATTAGGCTACCCCACCGCCCCTGGAAAATTAAGATACCCAATTGAGATGAACAGAAGCGAGTACATAACTCAATGACCCAAAAAGTTATCTGTAGCTCTGTATAATAATACAAGAAGACAAGGTCATCAATATCCCCCACAACGGCAAAATACTCAAAATACTAGTTATGATTATGTCAAATGTTTTGGAGTGTATATAGCAAAGTGGAAGGAGAGTATTGAAAGGTTTTTAAGATCTGTTCCAGAAAGGAGCACTACCACCAAATTGAGCTGAAGCCTAACTTGTTGCCATGGAAATGCAACAAGATGACATCCTCAAAGTCACATTTCCACGGAAACCACAAAAAATAAATTTGTATATGGGTCTAACCATCAAATGACACATCTGTGGATCATGCTTGATATGTGTACCAAGTTTGATGAAGCTAGCATGTATAGTTTAGGAGATCTGCTTCGGACAAGATGACATCCTCATAGTCACAGCCTAAGTCATGTTTGCATGAAAACAGCAAAAAATAAAATTCATATCTGGGTCTAACACCCAAAAGGCACATCTAAGGATCATGGTTGACATGTGTACCAAGTTTGGTTAAGCTATCACGAACAGTTTAGGAGATATGTTTAGGGCAAATTGTGACGGACGCACGGACGGAGGGATGGAGCTCGTTTCTATATCTCCAGCAACTTTGTTGTTGAGGGGGATAATGATACATGCATATTTATCAAAACAACTTATTTCAGAGACCCTGATACAGGAGACAGGCTTCTATTTAATAAGACATTGACAACATTATATACGTTTACATGTTATCGGTATGTATTGTTTAAGAGGGCAGAGGGGTATCTTTGCAAACAGTCTGTCTTAAGGATGTGAATGGTCTGTCTCTGAGTTGTGAACGGTATGTCCTAGGGATGTGAACGGTATGTCCTAGGGATGTGAACAGTCTGTCCTAGGGATGTTAATGGTGTGTCCTAGGCATGTGAACAGTCTGGTCTCTCTTAGGGATGTGAACGGTCTGTCCTAGGGATGTGAAAGGTCTGTCCTAGGAATGTGAACGGTCTGTCCTTGGAATGTGAACAGTCTGTCCTACGGGTGTGAATGGTCTGTCCTAGCTTGTGAACGGTCTGTCCTAGGAATGTGAATGGTGAGTCCTAGGGATGTGAACGGTCTGTCCTACGGGTGTGAACGGTCTGTCCTAGGGATGTGAACAGTGTGTCCTAGGGATGTGAACGGTCTGTCCTAGGGATGTGAAAGGTCTGTCCTAGGCATGTGAATGGTCTGTCCTAGGGATGTGAACTGTCTTTCCTTGGAATGTGAACACTCTGTCCTACAGGTGTGAATGGTCTGTCCTAGCTTGTGATCGGTCTGCCCTAGCCATGTGATCGGTCTGCCCCAGGCATGTGAATGGTCTACCCTAGGCATGTGATCGGTCTGCCCTAGGCATGTGATCGGTCTGCCCTAGGCATGTGATCGGTCTGCCCTAGGCATGTGATCGGTCTGCCCTCGGCATGTGATCGGTCTGCCCTAGGCATGTGAATGATCTGTCCTGGAGATTTATAAACCCTACCTGCTCCTCCTGCTCCGATGACTTCTGTGTCCTCGCCAAATGCTTCCCTAGCCACGTCCTCCACTGTCCCCTTGTGAGACCGAGATACGATTATCTTCTTTCTCTTAGATCCACCAGTTTCGGTTTCTGCCTTTTCAGCTTTCTTCAAATTTTCAGAGTGACCATAACCAACCCAGGCCCAAACTGCAAAATATCATATCAATTTATGATAATACACACAGCACGAAGACAAAGTAAAAATCTGCAACAGTTCTCATACATATGAATATATCTGACATCTGCCACTATAACTGTAAAGTTTTGCATAAATTATTCAGCTTGCGTGAACCAAATATTGCAGCCAGACCAGGCCCTGATCCTGTTTATCGTTCACAAGTTTCTATGATAATAGATACACAGTCCAGAAGCTATTGTGGTCAAATATATTGGTGGACAGCTAGTTTTAGCTGAAATTACTTTCGGAAACAATACAGACTGAAAGTGTGAATCAATACACAGTTTATATAATAACAATACCAGACAGGGTTTTTCAACATTTGCATTTATAAACATATCTGGATGATGACATGCTATATAAATACAATGGAAGCTGCCAAAACCGGCAGCTGTCCAATCCGGCAAGTTGGAATGAAATGAGCCACCCGAATATGTGTTTATACAGTAATCAGCGCTGTATAATCCAGCACATGGCGAGGAGTTGACTGGATGTACATTGTCTCAATTAATCCTGCGTTGAAATAATAGTGGATTATGAGCGTACAGCAGCCATCACAAGTTAAGTAACAACACGGTTGCCGACAAAGATAATTTGTGCCGTCCCACATTGAGAACTTAGAAAGAGAAAATCTGAGAAGAAACAAACCCAAATGTCTGATTTGTTTAAAATGTGTTGATTTATCATGTTTATGTTATTAACATGATTAAGTGAATAAAAGTGAAGATGAGTTCATTTCTTGTCGTAGGTAATCATGTCAGCTGTACAATCCGGCACACTGTCTAAACCGTCTATTTCTTCAGTCCCGACGAGTGCCAGTTTAGAAAGCTTCCACTGTACAATTTCTGGGTGTGGCCCAAACTATCGGTAGGAGATGTTACCTGTTTCATCTGAGAATGGTCGATGTATAACGCCAATGCGGGGTTCTCCGTTCACCACAACACACACCATTGTGGTAACATACTCGTTCAATCCCTCTGAAACATAATCATCATATCATGCAATGCAGCCTGAGAAGGTCAAGGTCAAATTTGAGTTTTCTTTAATCTACAAAGCCATTTTTGTTTCCTTTATTATCTCACTGATATTTTCTTGTTTTTGGGGTGCAGAGTAAGCATTATTCATACACAGGAGAATTTTTTCACTTGTTGCTTTAAAAAATGAAAAAGAAGGGACGAACAAATTCAAAACAATTCACAACACTTTGGTTTAAAGGGTATCCAGCATGAGTTATTTAAAGAGCGACCCGTTGAGATCTGGGTTAGAATTGGTCTTCAGCAACCAATGCTTGTCGTAAGAGGTGACTAACGGGATCGGGTGGTCAGGCTTGCTGATGACACATGTCATTGTATCCCAATTACGTAGATCAATGCTCATGCTGTTGATCACTGGATTGACTGGTCCAGACTTAATTATTTACAGACTGCCGTCGTATAGCTGGAATATTGCTGAGTGCGGTGTAAAACTAAACTCACTCACTCTTTAAAGGGCACTCAGCAGTGACGAACATGAATTTGGGGCAGATGTAAGAATATGTTTGACTAACAACCAGCATATCCAGAGATCAAACAGATTTTTGTGAACAATTTGTTTTTATGGTTTTCTGCAACATTGTACTAACATGAAAGTTTTAGGTCCCTCACAGAATACAAAATGGTCAGTCCTATGTCTGATTACATCTCTCAAACTTTGTTCAGTTGGGCAAATATAAGCAAACTGAAACAATCTTTTTCTATTCTGTGTTTAAATCAAATCCTTGTACAGGGGTGGAAATAACCCATTGCCCAACGCCCGAGTCCAGTGTTTTTTTCTGTCGGGCAAGCAAATTTGTATATCACACTGTACCGGTGTCCAGTTGACTTTCCAATATTAATTATGTTGTTTATTTAAAAAATCAGCAAGAAAACGGTTGGTATAGTGGAAAAATTATCAGGGCAAGTGACTTTACATGTGCCACTGTACCGGAGTACACAATCAATCTTAAAGTTATTTCCATCCCTGCTTGAAACAAATAATATTACAATAGAGTCATCTGTAACAAGTGGTTGGTTTGTTGTATAACGCCACAATTAGCATTATCCCAGCTATATGGTGGCAGTCTGGAGAGTCTGGACCAGACAATCCAGTGATTAACAGCATGCGCATCAATCTACGCAGTTAGGATATAATGACGTGTTAACCAAGTCAGCGAGCCTGACCACTCGATCCTGTTAGTCGCCTCTTGCGACAAGCATGGGTTACTGAAGATCAATTCTAACCCGGATCTTCACGGGGTTTGTATCAAGTGCAGGGACATACCTGTATATTCCTGTGTGGCGTCTAGTGGGTCAATCCAGATAGCGATGGAGTTCATGGGTATGGATTGGTCACTTTGTACAATGTCTGTCACCTCCTTCAGTTCCTTGTTGACATTGGGGATGGTGGTCAGGTCTACCGGCTCAGTGTCGTGCTCCTCGGACATTACCTGAAGCCAGGTGTCACACTCAACATGGGGATGCTTCAAGGTGTCACATTCAACATGGGGATACTTCATGGTGTCACACTCAACATGGGGATACTTCAAGGTGTCATAATCAACATGGGGATACTTCAAGGTGTTACTCTCAACATGGGGGATACTTCAAGGTGTCACACTCAACATGGGGATACTTCATGGTGTCACACTCAACATGGGGATACTTCAAGGTGTCACATTCAACATGGGTATACTTCAAGGTGTCACATTCAACATGGGAATACTTCAAGGTGTCACATTCAACATGGGAATACTTCAAGGTGTCACATTCAACATAGGGATACTTCAAGGTGTCACTCTCAACATGGGTATACTTCAAAGTGTCACATTCAACATGGGTATACTTCAAGGTGTCACACTCAACATGGGTATACTTCAAGGTGTCACATTCAACATGGGAATACTTCAAGGTGTCACACTCAAAATGGGGATACTTCAAGGTGTCACATTCAACATGGGGATACTTCAAGGTGTCACACTCAACATGGGGATACTTCAAGGTGTCACATTCAACATGGGAATACTTCAAGTTGTCACACTCAACATGGGAATACTTCAAGGTGTCACACTCAACATGGGAATACTTCAAGGTGTCACATTCAACATAGGGATACTTCAAGGTGTCACTCTCAACATGGGTATACTTCAAGGTGTCACATTCAACATGGGGATACTTCAAGGTGTCACTCAACATGGGGATACTTCAAGGTGTCACAGTCAACTTGGGGATACTTCAAGATGTCACACTCAACATGGGTATACTTCAAGGTGTCACACTCAACATGGGGATACTTCAAGGTGTCACATTCAACATGGGGATACTTCAAGGTGTCACTCAACATGGGGATACTTCAAGGTGTCACAGTCAACTTGGGGATACTTCAAGGTGTCACACTCAACATGGGGATACTTCTAGGTGTCACTCAACATGGGGATACTTCAAGGTGTCACTCAACATGGGGATACTTCAAGGTGTCACACTCAAAATGGGGATACTTCAAGGTGTCACACTCAACATGGGGATACTCCTAGGTGTCACTCTCAACATGAAGATACTTCAAGGTGTCACTCAACATGGGAATACTTCAAGGTGTCACACTCAACATGGGGATACTTCAAGGTGTCACACTCAACATTGGGATACTCCTAGGTGTCACTCTCAACATGAAGATACTTCAAGGTGTCATAATCAACATGGGCATACTTCAAGGTGTCACACTCAACATGGGGATACTTCAAGGTGTCACACTCAACATGGGGATACTTCAAGGTGTCACACTCAACATGGGGATACTTCAAGGTGTCACACTCAACATGGGGATACTCCTAGGTGTCACTCTCAACATGGGGATACTTCAAGGTGTCACACTCAACATCGGGATACTTCAAGGTGTCACACTCAACATGGGGATACTTCAAGGTGTCACACTCAACATGGGGATACTTCAAGGTGTCATAATCAACATGGGCATACTTCAAGGTGTCACACTCAACATGGGGATACTTCAAGGTGTCACATTCAACATGGGTATACTTCAAGGTGTCACATTCAACATGGGTATACTTCAAGGTGTCACACTCAACATGGGGATACTTCAAGGTGTCACATTCAACATGGGGATACTTCAAGGTGTCACACTCAACATGGGGATACTTCAAGGTGTCACACTCAACATGGGGATACATGGGGTCATACTTCATACTCAAGGTGTCACACTCAACATGGGGATACTCCTAGGTGTCACTCTCAACATGAAGATACTTCAAGGTGTCATAATCAACATGGGCATACTTCAAGGTGTCACACTCAACATGGGGATACTTCAAGGTGTCACACTCAACATGGGTATACTTCAAGGTGTCACATTCAACATGGGTATACTTCAAGGTGTCACACTCAACATGGGGATACTTCTAGGTGTCACATTCAACATGGGTATACTTCAAGGTGTCACATTCAACATGGGTATACTTCAAGGTGTCACACTCAACATGGGGATACTTCAAGGTGTCACATTCAACATGGGGATACTTCAAGGTGTCACCTGAGGTACAGTGATATTGATGACATTTAAACCACCATAAATACATGACCAGACTCAGTGCTAGACTGTACACATACTACATGCCACAGCTAGTGTTGGCACACCATGTCCTGTGCCCATAATTATCACAGAACAAGGTGTATCAGAGTTTTATAACTTGGTACATTTGCGAATCATGTAACTCATTTCAGCTTCCGCCATTTGTTGCATACTGAGCAAGAAAGCCATGTAAATTGCAGTACTAATTTTACATTTTCAAATTATCAAGTCAACTACCTACCTAAAGATTTCATGACTTCTAGCAATATTCCTGGAATACCACAGCACACCAGAAATAATTTACAAATGATACTAACATGGATTCGAACACTTTGACAATGAGCCAAACACTTCAACCCCAAGGCTACCAAGTCACAAGGATATATTTCATCTATAAATACACTGACTGAAACTGGAAAATCCAGTAATGGAAATGTATTGAAGGCCCCACCTACTTGCAAGTGGAAAGCTTTAGACATACACCTTGACATGTACATGTATATGTCAAACAGTCTGCCTCAACAATATATTTGCCACATGCATTTACTTGTGTAGGAGAGGAATAGGACCTGCAAATCTCGTGAGGCACTACTTCTGATACGTGGCAACTTGCGATATGCGAGACGGGACCCAGCTTACTTCCCGGTACCAGATTTCTGGCGACAGCGTATATATTCAAGAAGCAGTTCTGGTTCCAAACTGCATGACCGCCAAATATAACTTTACTAGACCATGCATGGCTGTCACAGCTGTTGACAGTCGTAATAGTTGGCTAATTAGGGAATGGTTAGATCACAAATTTGTTATTCCTGCGAGGATTATCGGTTCCTTACTGTCAACTGACAACCATGAGACCATTTGAAGAGGTATGAAACGTTGTTTGTCACCGGAAGTACTAAGGCACGTGAAGTGCTGTGACCTACTTACGGGCCCAATGTACAAAATGCATTTGACACAGTGCATATACAGTGGAAGCCCTCTAAACCGGCATTCGTTGGGACCGGCAAAAAATGCCGGTATAGAGGGCGTGCAGGTTTAGAGGACTTTTCCCTTTTCAACCTGAGAATGATCTTCCGTGTGCCGTAAAGTACAACTACACGTGTTGATAGTCATCATATTTTCTGTTCACGAGTTAATTCCAATCTAGCCCGCTTGACTGGTCTAGCCATCTTGACACGGTGAGCGACTGACAAATTGTGACAGGACAATTAATTAATAATACAAGTGACATGTGTCACTCACTAATTTACCTCATCTACTTAGGCCTAATCCTTATCCATACTCCTTTTATCAGGCAACATCAATGAGTTTAATGCCGATGGTAATCCACTGTGTTGTTAATACACGTTCAGCCCATCCGCCAATCAACAGGAGAGCCGAGATACCGGATGCCAGTTTAGAGAGCATTAATTACTGTACAAACAGTCAATTGGGCGGTCTTTGTTGTGCCGAAATACGGAATGCTGACCCTGGATTAGAGGGGATGTAAATGATCAGAAATTAACTAGCTTCTGCCGGGACCAAATTCTAGTGTCGATATTGAGAACATGCCAGATTGGAGGGCTGCCGGTTTTAAGAGCTTCCACTGTATGTCCTATTTCTTTAGTCACATGATTTGACGTCCAATGTCAGCCTGTTAAATACATATAGCGGCCATAATGAACTAAAATTTAAGTCCCTTAGAGTTCATGATATCTGCAGTTGAATGTTGTTGCCATCTTGTTCATGTCAGAATGTTCTAACATCTATGTGGCAGTGTATGAAATAAGGCACGTCTGATCGCCCGAAACGTCTATCGCCCGAAACGGGCTTGATTTCTGACAGACGGTCTCAATTACAGCTAGCCAGCCCGATGGTCTGGTATAAAATTTAGATGTTCCATACATCTGAATAAATACACCATATCTTGGTGTCTGGTCTGGTTATTTAAGTTACCAGCCCTGATGTCTGGCTGGGATTTGGGCTTTTTCATACACTGTATGTGGTAGCCCGTTTTGCGCTAAAGAAAACAGACATTAAAGATGTGGTAACCATGACAACATCTGCTAACTAAATATGCTAATTAGTCATGAAGAGGTAATTATCTGTAATCACTGTGTCGTGGATTTATCATGATATTGATATGAAAAACATTTCCACGTCAGGATGATTTGAAATTCATACCGGTACAGGAAGCTAATGAATATATAAATATACATCCTCATGAACAGATGACAAACATACTCATGTTAAATTCATTCAATGTTATGATAGAGAGTGAATATACCATTATGTATTGGAAAATATATTTGACTGCAATAGTGTTGGGAATTGGTTGAAATCTCACAATTGATGATTGCTTCAATACCAACGACCAATCATCGAAAAAAAAATTGGTTAGCGTCATTTTTCAGATTTTCCTATTCAGGTTAGTATAAGTATAAAGAAAAAAACATTTGGTTCTCTGTTCTTGTTTTTAAAAAAATGCACAAATTACATTTGCAGATTTCACATCCAGTGTAAAATGATTCAGTTCCAGTGTAACATTATCTTCCCAGATTCTTCAAGAAATATTCAGTCATGACTTTTCAGAAAGTGAAATGAGTTTTCTTAGAAATAAACACGTTTTCAGGCCCTGACAACATCCTAGATATGTTCCATCATCAAGCATTCCAAAATCGTTTGTGTTTGATTATGAGAAAATGTGATCGATTGCTTGGTCGTTTGGCCACTGCGACCAATCTTCGATTATTTCAATTAATCGGACCACCACTAGACTGCAATATATTGCAATCCAGGTATCAGTATAGCGAAATATATATAGCATTGTATTTTGAAATAAAGTTTTTGATCGGAGTGACACAGATTACATGCTGGTCCTATGTT